TAATTTCTTTCCATTTTTTGGTAGAGACGGGGTCTCGCTCTTGCTCAGGCTGGTCTCGAACTCCTGAGCTCAGAACGATCCTCCCGCCTCAGCCTCCCAGAGTGCTAGGATTACAGGCGTGAGCCACCGCACCCGGCCCTGTAATTTACATTTTAATAGGCACATGTGGCTAGGGCCTACTGTGTTGGACAATGCAGCTCTAGGACCTTGAGGGTAATGGGCTTAGCTATTGCAGCTATGGAGGAGGAGGAGGGACATGATAGTTCTAGTCCTAACCAGGTTCTGTGGGTGGCTGGCATCAGGGATGGAGTAGGGTGGATGTCCTCAAACAACCACAGAACACTTCTCTTGCCTCTTTATTCCTGATGCACATTTGTCCCCTCTTTGTCCAAGGTCCTCATCACATTCTGATATCCCCACTCCTTGATGGTTTCCCCTGAGTTGCAGGGTGCCTCTTGGCGAAGGTGCCTGGGAGACAGAGCTTCACACTTGTCCCTGCCCACTGTCAACTGTCTCTGGCGGGCATCAAAGACCACATGCCCTCCCCGGGTGCCTGGTCCAGGGTAGTGGTACTTCCCATTGATTTTGGGAGGCATAGATACCTGACGATAGTTCTGGAAGCCTGAAGAAATTGTATCCACAGGGCGGTACACCCAGTCTTGGCTGCCTGTCCGCCGAGAGGATGACTGCAGCTCTATTAGTACAGGTACTTCTGAGAAGGTCTGCAGGTCACTGGAGATCACCTGGGCCTTGTAAGGGCAGGAGTTCTGATTGAGTGGTGCAGAAGTGCAGGGTATGTGCTGCTCTTTATCCTCCTTCTGAGCGGCCTTCTTGGATGCAAACTTTGTCTGGGACAGTGTTGACTTTGAGGTCTGAAGTGGGCATAAGACTTGGACAGATTTGGTAGCTAGAGCAAGGTTTGGGCCCTTGTGGAGGCCAGATTCCTGGGTAAGGCCTGAAATCTTGGGGAGGCCAGAGTCTTGAACAACAGCTGGGTCCTTATGAGGGCCAGGATCTTGATTAATTCCTGGGCACTTGTGGAGGTTAGGGTCTTGGCTATGTTCAGTTCTTCTGTAAACTCCAGCATCTTGGGTAGGGCTCAGCCTCCTTTTGCCTTCAGTGACATGGGTAAGGCCTGGACTGTTGGGGAGTTTGGAATCTTGAGTAAGACCTGGGACCCTGCAGACACCACAACCCTGGCTATGGCCTGGATTGTTACAGTCTCCTGAGTCTTGGATAAGGCCTGAGCACTTTGGGAGGTCAGAGGTTTGGACAAGTCCTGGGCTTTTGTTGACTTCAGAGTCTTGGGCAAGGTATGAGCTATTCTGTGGCCCAGAGTCTTGGGTAAGGCCTAGGGTCTTATAGATTCCTGGATCTTGGACACTGCCTGTACTCTTGTAACCTCCGGAATTTTGAGAAGGGCCTGGGTCCTTCTGATGGTCAGTTGCCTGGCAGAGATCTTGACTTTTGTCGACTACAGTCTCTTGGTTTTGTTCAAGATTCCTGCGGACTCCAGAATCTTGCATAAAGCCTAAACTCTTCTGGGAAGTTTTGGTAAATGGTATGTTCTTGTGGAGGCCAGAGGGTTTGGTAAGACATGGCCTCCTAAAGACACCAGCATCTTGAGTAGGACCTGGGCTCTTTTGGGGGCCAGAATCTTGTGTGATGCCTGGATTCTTGTGAAGGCCAGAGTCTTCAGAATGTCTTGGATTCTTGCAGAGATAAGGATCTTGGGTAAGGCCTGGGAACTTGTGTAGGCCTGGATCTTGAGCAAGACCTGAGTTCTTGTGGAAGCCTGGATCTTGGGTAAGGCCTGGATTGTCGTGGAGGCCTGGATCTTGGGTAAGGCCTGGGTTCCTGGGAACTCTAGAGTCTTTTGAAGGGCATGGGGTCCTTTGAAGGCCAGGGTCTGGGGTAAGGCCTAGACTCTGAAGTTCAGAGCATTGGGATTGGATCTGGATTTGGGAAATAGTGGAGAACTGGGGAGGCATGAGAAGTTGGGAAGGAGGGATACACTGAGGAGACTTGGAGGTTGGGAGGAAGGTGGGGGTTTGTGTTAAGGTGGAGGGCTTCTGACGGTTGATAGGTTGAGGAAGGACAAAGGATCTAGGGGGAACAAGTGGCAAGGAAAGAGTGCATGGTGGAGGAAGGGTACACAGTGAGCTCTGGGCAGTGGTTGGAGAATGAAAGCAAGGTTTAGAAGATGAAGTATCCTGAGAGTAGACCAGGACCTTGGGGTAGACTGGAGACTGGGAGTCTGTATTCTTCCTCTTAGAACTGCAAGGATGGAAACTGCAGTAAGGGAAGGTCTTGGGCTGGGAGAACTTGTCTTTGGCGTCCTCTGAGATCTGCCATTCCATATTTCCCAGGTCCAGGTAGCCCAGTATGGATCCTGCATGAGGCTTGGCACTGTCCCCACTGTGTTGCTTTGATGTTTGCTCAGATATACCAGAGCTCACCAGGCTCTGACCCTCTTGGAGCCTGGAGAGAGCACCGAAGTCCTTTCTGGAATACCCAGAGTTCTGGGGGGTGCATATATGGAAGAAGTTCTGCTTTGCCCTGCGGGCATCATAGACCACATGGCCAGTGGAGAGGCCATGGCTAAAGGCAGACAGGGTAGAGGGAATAGGATTTAGGATAGGGGTAGGGGTGGTGGCAGGGACATGAGCCTGTGTTGGAGTGGTAGTCATGGCCATGGCCTGTGCTGGGGCAGGGGTTGGGACAGAGGCTCGGGCAGGGTCTGGTGTAGGAGCTTGGGCAGGAGTAGTGACTGGGGCTAAGGTTGGGGGAGGGGCTGGGGCAGAGGTTGGGGCAGGAGCTGGGGTGTGGGTATGGGTATGGATTACATGTGAGTGGTCTGGGACATATGCAGAGACATGGGCTGCTGTGTGCTCAGGGGCCTGGGCCTGGGAGTGGGTGAAGGCATGTGCAGGGGTGTGGACTGGGGAGAGGGCTGGGGCAATGGCTGAGGTATAGCCAGGGCTGTGGGCCTGGGATTGGGTGTGCCCAAGGGTGTATGTCTGAGAGTGGGTCTGGGCCTGGGCTGGGGTGCGGGCTTGGGTGTGGTCTAGGTTCTGGGCTGGGGTGTGGGCTGAGGAGTGGTCTGGGGTAGGGGGTGGGGCAGGGGCTGTGGTGTGGGCTTGGGTGTGGGCTGATGCATGCTCAAGGTCCTGGGCCTGGGAGTGGGTGCACTGAGGGGTGTGGGCTGGGGAGTAGGTCTGGGTGTGGATGGGAGTGTGCTCAGAGGTGTGGGCTAGGGAGTGGGTCTGAGCCTGAGCTGGGGCCTGGGCTGGGGCATAGTCTGGGGTCTTAGTCTTGCTCTCTTGGGGCAAGTGGAGTGGAACCATGTCCAACTTGCTCATCTTTGGGAACTGGGAAGATGTCTCTGGTCTGGAGAGCAAGGAGGTTTGGCCCTTTAAGGCTGTGACCTGAGGGGCCTCCCCAGCTCCCATCATTCCCTCCTTCCACAGTCCCCATGGAGCTTCCGTGGGAGCCCCGGCATGTCTGCATTGAGGTGGCATACAGCAGCACCTAGAAACCTTCTCATCATTTGTGTCTGGTATCCAGGAGTCAAGGTGGTTAGTGTGCCCGAGCAGGAAGCTTGGGCGACGATGGAAGCGAGAAGAGACTCTTGAGCACAGGTTCTTGGGATCCGTGGAGCAGCGCATACACATGGGATGGCTGCCTATACCACTGGGTTGCTTGTCTGCAGGGAGAGGTAAGATGGGTCAGGGCCTGGGTTCCTTAGGGACTGAGAACTGGGACAGGGATGGAAGAAAAGGGACAGGCCCACATCCCTGGGAGCCCATGCCAGGGCCCACTCACCTTTGGGGAAAAAATGATGGAAAAGAGTCCTCAAGGTGCTCTTCAGATGCCTCCAGAGCTGAGGGGAGCAGGAGAGGAGAGAGCCCAGAGGTATGGTGAGCCCTGGAGTCCAGCCCTTGTCTGGTCATATCCCAGCAGCCCTCCCCTCTCAGCCTCTTTGAGACCCCAGAGCTCCCCCAACCCTGCTGCCCAGACCCCGCCCTGACCAGAGTCACCACATTGATCCCCACGTTGAGCAAGATGAAGCTGCCCAGAATCAGAAGAATTGAGTCTCCCAAGTCCTGGCACTTCCTGGGGTTGGTGCCAGAGCATACTTGGGCTCCGTGGTGGGCTTGCTCACCCATGGCCTGGGGTCCCAGGACTACCTGGGCCCCCTGGCCCCCACATACTCACTAGGAGCCAGACTTCTGTGGTGGGGGAGGGGAGAAGGACTGAGTCATAATGAGGAAGGTGGTTGGGGTCACAATGAGGGAAGTCAAGGAAGAGGAGGGCCTGGGGTGGAGTTCCCTGGCAACCAGCTTTGAGTAACCTGAACATGGACAGTCAAGCAGGGCCTGGGAGCCAGCGCACCTGCCCTCTCTCTCAGTCACTGCCTTGCTGCCCACTGACTGACTGACTCACCACTCACTCCATCATTCCTGCAGTTTCCACTGACAATCCTGAGCCTTTTACCCTTGACCACACCTGAGACTGGGAAGACCTCAGCCTCAGAGCCCTAGGGAAGGCCTGGCTGGAATCCAGAGCCTTGGCCTTCTTCTGCCCTACCCTGGGCCACAAGCCTAGATCTGCCTGGACATGGAACCCCCAGGTCTGGATTTCTGACCTTAGTGTTTTGAGTGGGGCTGAACATCTCAGCCCCCTTTGGGAGCAGGCAGAGCAGAGAGCCAGGGTGGGTGGCCAGAGATTTGGAGGGGTTCAGAACCTGCCCTTGCAAGATCTACTTAGTGCATGGTACGGGACCAGGAGGGGCCTGCTGGCAGGAGCATGGCCACTAAGCCAAGGGAAGGCTCACACCAAGAAGGGGATGCTGGTTTCTCATTTCAGGAAGTCAAGGGCAGGGATACAGGCTGGCAAAAGGAGTGGCACTTCCAAAGCACAGACCACTACAGCATTTCCTGGACTGTTGCTCTTTATTCCTTTCTCCGTGTCCCGCCCCACCACCCATGTTCGCCCTGTCAGTTGAGTTTCCCGGCCCGGTTTCTGTGCAGGGAGGGCCTTGAGGCTGAGGTGGAAGGCAGTGGCAGTGAGTTGGCCCGTATTCTGCCCTCCTGCACCTGCCGCTTTAGCTCCAGGCTGTCGTACACCTGGTAGTTAATATTGCCCCCTGGATTCCGGCTGAGTGGGACAAAGGTGGACGGGGGTGGGGCGGAATCAGCAGCCTGGACTTCAGGCAGGGGCTGGGAGGAGTGGGGGAGCAGGGCGGCTGGGGCCCGTTGGTGTGAGTTCTCCCCCAACACGGTGATGGAGGCAGAGGTGGTCAGGGGATGCCGAGCAGGTGGAGCCTCAGACCAGTCGGCCACCTGGCGCCGGACCTCGTGGGCATCCCGGGAGCTATAGCCCAAGTGTCCCATGGATGGGTGGGGGCTGCGGTTGGGCTGGCTGTGAGCATGACCAGGCAGGCTCCGCCGGCGGGATTGGGGGGAATAGTGGTCCCGGTAGCCCTGGGCCTCAGGCCGGGAGTTCCGGGACACCAAGGCAGGTGGGGGCTCAGAGCTCTCTACTCCACGCCGCCGCTGATCCCAGGAGTCATACAGTATTAGGCCCGATGCAGGGTAAGGGCTGTGCCCCCCAGGGACCCAGGAAGGGTTAGGGGGCAGCCGGCGGAGAGGTGGTGGAGATGAGGCCCGCTGCTCAGCTTCCACACTGCCCCAAATTCGGCATTGTGAGGGGGGCCCATAGGACTGCAGCCTCAGCTTAGACTTGGCCTCCACACGCTTGGGCATGCAGCGCAGCTTAGGTGACAGGTAGGGAGAGGGTGGGGGCAGGCTGGCCAGGATTCCACCCCGGCGGCCCCATAGCCTCATGTTGGAGTGCAGGCCCATTCGTGGACAGAGCCCACCCCAGCCCCCACGTGGGTACTTGGGGTATGGAAAGGCCAGATCATCCTCCTCCAGGTAGGAGTCTGGGTCCTCTGGATCAAAGAAGGACTTTCGCCTTAGCTGTGACGTCTTGCGGCTGTGATGGTTAGGGAAAATTGAGCGGCCGTGCTGGTTACGGAAGAATGAGCCGCCATGGGAGAGTCGTCTGTGGTTCTGTGGCCTCTGCTGGTGGCTGCAGCGGCGCTGGCGCTGGTGGCGGCTGCGGCTGCTGCGGCGGTGGCTGCGGCTGCGACTGCGACTGCGACTGCTGAGGCGGCTGCGGCAGTTACCGAGACCATGGCAGGAGGGAGAGGAGTAGCATGTGGGTCGGGTCATCTTCACCTGTACAGGGTCCAGGATGCAGTGGATCTGGACATCCTGGACCTTGGCTGGGAGGCCTTTGGAGGAACTTTCACTAGGCTGAACTTCAACTGGGGAAGGCAAGAGTACATGAGGTCAGGGCAATCGTCAGAAGAGGTCAGGGTTGGGAACACTGGGCCTGGGTTTCTAAGGCTGTGGGGTCGGGGTGGGGGTCCCTTTCCTCTCCAGCTGCCATACTTACTCTTCTGATTTGTGCAATCGATCATCTTGTCCAAGATGTTCTGCAGCCCATGCCACATCTAGGGGCAGGTGGAATGGGAGTGAAGACCAGGCTCTGCACCCCAACAGCACTGCACATGCAGGTGGAGGTGCAGGCTGCAGCTGGCTCCCACCCTTAGCCCTCTTCACCACACCTCGGGGTGGTCCACACCCATCACTGACCACAGTTGCCACGTTGATGCCAATGTTGACAAGAATGATGAGGCCCAGCAGCAGGAATAAGATGTCCTCGGCATCCTGGGGGCTTTCTTGGTATTGATTGCAGCACCCCGCGGTGTTATGCCATAGCTGGTTTTCCATGGTGGGGGGCTCCTAGGGCCACCTGGGCTGTGCCCCCCCAACCCTCCCGGCCCCGACCCACACTGCACTCATGCCAGTACCTGGCGATACCTACTGGCTGGTGAGGGAGCCAGGTCATAATGGGGCAGGTTAGGAAGCATCACAATGCAGAGGTGGAAGCTCCTCTATCCACCCTGCTGGCCTTTTACATGGCTGTCTGTGCCCTTGGCTCCTGCTTGATGGAGCTCAGTCCTCAGGTACCCCAGACAGTCTGTTCCTCTGTCTCCATGAGGCTTGCTTAGCCCCACACCTGATTCCCGATCTGAAAATATGGTAGCTGCAGTCATGAGACAGTCTTCACAGGGATTGAGTCATACATAAAGGATTTCCCCCATTTCATTGTTCTTCGGAGACACTATGGCAACTTATGCAGCCTGTTGGTGTGCCCCACCTCATGCCTACTCTGGGGCCAGCAGTTAGGATGACGTGGATGGATGGGTGACAGCTAGAGTCCCCTCAGGTGTTACCCTGCTGTAACAATCCCTCCCTATCCTGCCCATTTCCCTGTCATAATTCCTCTAGCACCCGTCCCTGCCCAACTCTTCCTGTAGCCCTAGGTGTTGGTGGTCCCTGAGCCCACTGGCCCCTTCCCTTCAGAGCCAGACTGACTTCTTTGATGAAGCTGCCCCTGCAGCAACCAAGCCCACCCATGGTTTCTCTCCTGCCTGACCAACTGCCTTGACTCTTGACCCACTCCCACTCCAAGTTGAAAAAATGTTAGCTTAAGAAAAACCTTAAGAAAACCACATGAAATTAACAAAGCACAAAATATATGCAATTGTTGCTATGACAAAAGAAGTCTTCAATGTAAACCAGGTTCATCACTGGGGTCTGTGGAAGTGGTGGCCTGGGGACAGCAAGCCATCTGTTTACACAGTGAACTACTCAGCAGAAATAGAGGGAAGGCCAGTGAGCATTTCCCATCATGCCTCCAAACACATAGTAGATGCTCAATATATACCCACTGAATATAATTGAATGAGCAATAACATTAGTTGAGTGTAAATGAATGGAGAAGTAGGGCAATTTGCAAAAGCTCTGTCTGCTTCCAGGTATCTGTGTAGTTCAGAAGGTGAGGTCCAGCTCACTCACACTCACTTCAGTCTGGACTCACTCCTGTGGCTCTTTCTTCCCAAGGTGTGTGTGTGTGTGTGTGTGTGTGTGTGTGTACGTGCGTGTGTGTGTGTACGTGCGTGTGTGTGTGTGTGTGTACGTGCATGTGATCCCAGTGGTCTAGGAGTAGGGCAGGGCCTGACTTTCTGTGGGCAAGTTACTTGGCCTCCCTGAACCTCCATCTCTTCATCTGTGACGTGGTGGACTAATCAGAGGGTATCACAGAGGGCTGTGATATGATGGTGAGGCAGACCTTGAGAGTGTCCCCAGTATTTCATCTTCTGCTCCAAGCCTGCTCAAGGGTACAGGAGCTTCAGGTTCTGACTAGGGAATTGTGAGGGCCTAGATACCCTCGCTCTCAGCCATCCCTCCCAAAAGAAACCAAGGCTTAAGTGGGAACCACACCTCACCTGTGGCTGCGGCCTAAACCCGGGCTCTGGCAGGAATTTGCCCTCTGAGGAGCTAGGCTGGGGGTGGAGGTCACTCCTCTAGCGCAGGACTGCCCAGGGATCTGGGCTGGGTTTGGGGGACATCTCTGGGCACCAAGGAAAACAAGGTAGGGGCAGGTGGGAGCCTCGGAACCAAGAAGGGCCTGGGAAAGGGCTGAGGACGGGGCCTATGGGAGCAAGAGATTGACAAGGGTTCTCAGGGCTCTCAGGGCCCTGTTGCCAAGGAGATCCTTCCCTTTGCAAGCAGGGCTTCCGGGTGTTGTGCAGGCCCCAGCACCCCCTACACCACCACAAACCACCTCCTCTCTCCTTTTTATTTTTTCCTAGTCACCTCCCATTCAGAGAACAGTACACCCAGTCTTTGCCTGTCCCCTCAGCAGTGCTAGATCCGGAGGCCAGAGGGTAACAGTGGGACAGGGCCTCCACCTCCCGGGTCAGTTCCCGAAGTCGCCGCCTCACGTCCCGGGCATCATACACTATTCGGCCTGAGGAGCGGTGCTGGGGGAATTCGGGGATGACTGCTGGGCCCAGGACAGGTGGGGGGGCAGGTTGGAACTGAGCCTCCACTTCTGCCACTGCCCCACTGTTCTTGTGGCAGGGGGCCTCAGGGCTGGGAGCTGGGGGGTTCACAGGGTACACATAGGCCTCCAGACCCAGCTCTGACCGGATCTCTGTTCTGAGGGGCCTTTCTTCTGCCATCGGCTGGAAGCGGATGGTCTGGGGAGACACCTCTGGAGTGTCCTCAGTCCAGGGAGCCCAGGTCTCCTGGGTGGGCTGGAAGCCTTCCCAGTCCTCGGGGCCATCGCAGTGGTAGGAGCAGATTGCTGGGTACTGATGTTGGGGTTTCTCATCATCAGTGTCAGGGGCCCAAGCCACTGGGCGGTGGGCACGGCGTGTTGGAGAGCCTCGATGGCGATGGCGGTGAGTGGGAGGGGGGGTCACGGTCATTTTCACAGGGTCCATGGTGCATCGAAGGTGGACTGCAGGGGAGCTCTGCTTCTTCGAGGGCTGGATCTGCTTCCCAGCTGAGCGTGACTGTGGAGCTTCTGTGGATCGGGGAGAGGTGAAAGGCTAGTGGGAGACTCCTACAGGGCTGGAGAGGCAGGGCTCGGGGAGAGAAGCTGCACAGCTGTGGTGTCTGGGAGGGGAGTGCAGGAAGGGAATGGCCAGCTTGGGGCTGGGGCTGGAACGCCTAGTTTCTGCCCCTCCTATGCCCCAACCCTCATCCCTGGCACCTGCTCCCCCAGCCCCAGGCCTACCTTTCTCACAAATGATACGATGGAACACTTTGTGTAAGATGCCACGGAGTCGGCTCCAGAGCTAGGTGGGGGAAGTCACAGTGACCCCAGGCAGACCCTGGCCACCAGGCACGCCCCCAGCCATCCCACCAGCACCCTCCCACGCAGCCCCGCCCTCACCAGGGTCACCATATTGATGCCAATGTTAATGCAGATGATGAGGCCGAGCAGCAACAGGATGGAATTGCCCAGGTCCTGGCAGTTGTTGGTGTTGGGGTTGTGATATGAGGCCCACCCAGGCCGAGGCCGCTCAGCCATGGCCATGGGGTCCCTGGGCCACCGGGGCCCTCAGGCCCCCACCCCACTGTGCCTACAGTGCCCAACAGCCCGCCTGTCTGTCCCAGAGGGTGCAGGCAGGTCACAATGGTGCTAGGGCTCTCCCTCATAATGTGCCAAGGGGCTACTCAGAGTTCTGGGCCTGTGGTTGACCCTCTAGTCTGAGCCCAGGCCTTGGCAGAGGCAAAACCCTTCACCTTGCATGCCTCTCCTATAGCCAGCCATCTGGACTGGCCCACTGGCCCTCTGGCCTGTTTGGTATCTGCCCCCATCAGCCCCTGCCTCTCCTTCTAGAACTACACCAGGCTCCAGCCTCTGCATAGACATGAGTCCTGATCTTAACTCTCCACACAGTCCCATTACCATGGCAAACTTACCCCAGCACCCACTCCCCCTCAGACCTCCTGAAAAGAAGGGCTGGGGGTCAGGTCCCCCTTCTCCTTCATCCAGTCACTTCCCAAAGGCTCGTTTCTTCAGAACCATATGCCCCCAACATAGCAGGCACAACCAACAGTTAAACTTTTATATTTACAATATTCTCTTCATCTTTTGCCAGGTTTAAAAATGTGTACAGAGCCGCAAAGGGTTGGGGTAAGGATATGGACTGTCAGGGGATTGTTCTGGGGAGAAGGGCTGGGCATTGGAGTCCGTGGCTGAATCATGGGGTCCCCCAGCCCCCCTCCCATGCCCCAATTCTGGGGGCATCTGTCTACAGGGTTCAGGGCCCAGGTCTCTAGCATTTGGAGGGCATGGCTGTTTGGAGAGGAGCTAGACCAGGCAGGGGAAAGGGTCAGAAAAGAACTAAGTTTCCATGGATGGAGGTAGAAGGGACAGTCAAGAGGCAAAGTTTCTAGGGACTCAAGACCAGGGATTCTGGATTTGGGTGTCAGTGGAAGACAGCACCCCACCCCTAAATTTGGCACTGACATCCCACAACATGCCAGCAGAGAATTCATCCCTCCTCCACTGGTGTCCCTTAAAACCCTTCCTGACATCATTCTTTTCCTCACACCCAGGGACCTCTGGACAGTCACCTCACACTATTCCTTTCAAATTCCTCCTGTTGGTGTCTGCCCAAGCCCCGTCCCCTCCATCTGTTCCTCGGCACAGCTGACCTCATTCTCCCCAGCCTGTCTGGTGAGGCCTTTCTCCCGCTGCCTCCCCTCCAGCCTCCACTGCTCCTTCCCGTCCCTTCAGCCAAGGGGAGACAGGTCAAAATTGGGGGGGGGTCAGCTGAGGGGAGAAGGCTGGTCTGACACTGAGATGGGGACAGCGATGGAGAATGGGGAATTGAGACAGAGAGGGGACATGACCTGGTGAGGAGAAAAGAGACACAGGTGGGACCCCCCTTTGCTGCCGCACCCACTCCCTGCCATTTCCCCTGCTCGGGCTTGGGACTTGGGAATCCTTGGCACATTTTGGGGGTCTTTCCCCCTCAATCCCACCTACCCAGTTTGGCGCAGATGAGCAATGACCTCAGGACTGAGGGAAAGGCTGTCCTCAGATCCTGAGGAGGGCTTTGGTCAAACATGCACGGCCTCTGCAGGTGGCATGTGCCCCGTCCGGCCCCCCAGGTCAGCATCTCTGGGGCAGGGAGGGCTGAGCCCTCCCTCAGGATTTGTACATGCCCTCAGCTCTGTCAATCTCCCATCCCTCTGGAGGCTGCTCCCGCCTGCTTTGTGAGGAGGAATTGAGTGCTGGGCCTGAGGCCTGGGAGAGGCAGGGGAGTGCTGGGGAGAGAGGGACCCTCTGCTTGGGAAAACACACATCCACATGCAAGAACATGTTTCCACTCAGAAATGTGTCCTGGACCGTGGGGAAACAAGTTTCCAGGGAGCACTGGGATGCACGGATCTCCTCCCTTCCCCCTGGCAGGAAATCTGTTTGTCCTCTGTGGAAGGTGAGGGCCTTCCCGGGAGAACATGCTTCATCTGACTTGTGCCACGGGGGAAAGACATGCTTTGCTGGGGCAAGGGGCAGGGCAGGGACGAGGGGGGCTGTGATTTCCTCGCTGCTTTCCAGGTACCATCATCTGGTGGCCAAGGGTCACTGTATGTGAACACACCACTTCCAGGGTCTCCAGGGGAGGGAGGGGGAAGGAGGGGGGAGAAGGCATGAGGGAACAGGATTCTGGGGTACAAATCCCCGCAGAAATTCTTTGAGGGGGCCAACATGTGTCCAGGGCGGCAAAAAAAACCTCACCCTGCACATGGGAAAACACACCCCCTCGTGAGAAAGCACACCTCCACGTGGGAAAATACTTCCACATTTCCACACACCGAAGACTGGTGTCCCAATGGAGGGGAAAAAACGCCCTCCAGTTGTTCAAAGGCCCAGGTCCAGAGAAGAGTATGAGCCTCTCTGCATGGGAAAAACACACATCCCAGTGAGGAATCCCATGTCCACCTTGATGCTGCTCGATGATGTGTGACAACTCCACAGGAGAAAAGCCTGTTGCCAAGTCCTCCTCCCTGCCTTCAGAGTGGCCGGGCCAGGGAGGGTTGGGGAGGAGGGCCTCCCCAAGCCGCCCCCTATACCCGAGTAGTGGAGTGGGGGTGGGGTAGCGTGTTGTTGTGGCTGGTAGCAGTGGGGGGAGGTGGGGGGAAGGGCCCAAAGGGATGGAGGGAGGGGGGCGGCGGGGGTGGCGGTGGCCCCAGGCCACTGGGCAGCAGGGTCAGGGCCCCGGGGGCCAAGAGAGGCACATCATCCGGTGCCCGGCGCAGGGCCAGGGTATAGTCGGGTGGGCAGGCAGGGCGCAGGGCCTCAGCAGGGTCCGCCCCAACGCCACCACCCCGCTTCAGCTGCAGTGACACCAGCTCCTCCTCTGGTGGCAGCTCTCGGCCAGCTGCGGGGAGCAGGGGGCCCCCACCAGGCACACCTGAGCCTGAGCCACCAGGTGGGCTAAGCCGCCTGCATCGCAGCTCCTGCCGCCGGTCCCGCTTGTAGTACAGGGCAGCAAAGGCCAGGATGTTGAGGAAAAGGAGGGAGGCGCCCACGGCCACAGTGACGCTAAGCTCCGTGGAGTAGTCCCGTGAGTCCCCAGGGAAGCGGTCATAGGCCCTTGGGCCTGGCTCAGGCTCGGGCTCAGGCGGCAGGGTGGCGGGCGGTGGGGGCCGGCGTGTGCCAGGGGCGCCCGGGGGTGGGCGAGGTGGCCAGCGTGTGGCATAGGGAGGCAGGCGCGTGGTGGTGGTGAAGAGCTCCGTGTGCAGGTTGTGCAGGTGGGGCACAAGCTCCAGCCAGAAGGCCACCTTGTTGGCACGGTAGTTGTCACGCACACGCGGCTTCAAGCCAATGTGCAGGTACTGCTTCTCCTTGCTGTTGAACTTGCTCCACACCACCTCCTCAAAGCGGTTCGGCTTCGTGTGGATGAACTTGGTATCCTGCGGCACTGGCTGGTTAGGGTCGCTGTGGGCACAGGAGGGCAGGGAAAGGAGTGAGGGCAAGGCTCTGAAGGAGGGCGGGTGGCAGTGGGGAGGGATACAGACAAGCTGTGGAGAGATGGGGAGACAGCAAGAAAGCCAGAGAAAAAGTCATAGAGGCAGAGACGGATATGAAGAGACAGAGAATCTGCCAGGGACGGGAACAGAGAGACAAACAGGGATAGAGACAGACTGCCAGAGACAGCCAGAAACGAGGACAGAGGGGCAGACACAGATAAAGAGATAGCCAGGGAGAGGCAGAAGCTGCAACTGAGTGAGACAGAGACAGAAAGGAACAGAGAGACAAAGACATATGAGAGGCAGAGACAGAGAGATAGCCACAGTGAAACCAGCCCACAGCCTGACCTGGCGAAAAGTAAACAGATCAGAGAGCAGAGAGGAGGGGAGAGATACCAATGGGTTTCAAGACAGACAGAGACAAACAAAGAAACAGACAGACACAAACTCTTACACACACTGAGACACACACACCTGAATAGTCAGACAGAGGAGCAGAGCACTGGATGGGGGTAGGGGGAGTGGGAAGGCAAGAGAGGAAGGAGAGACAGACACGAAACCAAAGCCACTAAGTGAGCCCACCCCCAGGAAGGACAGGGACCTCTCTAATGCTGCTGACTCTCCAACACTCATCTCAGTGACTGGTACAGAGGTGTTCAGCAGGCAGCTGAGCAAGAGTGAGTGTCTTAATAAAGGAATGATGGTCGCGTGAAGGAGGGAGGGTGCCCCAGCCCTACCCAGCCCCTCTGACCCTCACCCAGTCTTGGCGAAGTTGGTCCAGTAGGTCATGACTACGGCACTGAGCATGACGTCATTCTTGGAGAAGTTGCAGGGGAAGAGGTCGGTGGCACCCACCATGGGCACACCAAAGACATAGGGCAGCTCATCTCCGTGCGCTGCATCTGCCCACTCAGGCCGGCCCTCAGCCTGGCAGTGGTGGTAGAAGGTGTAAAAGTAGACAGGGGACTGGTAGTCGGCGTGCAGCTTGGCGGTGGCCACAGCTGGTGCCACCCACTGGTGGTCGGTAAAGAGAGCCAGCAGGGTTTTACGCCGCATCTCGCCATTGTCCCGGTCGGCCCAGTCCGTGTACATAAACTTGATGGTCTCCCGCAGCACATCCTTGCCCTCCGGGTAGCCATACAGGTTGTCCACAAAGTTGGAGACGGTGAAGTCGAACGCGCTGGCCGACACGCCATCCTCACTCTCTGCAGAGTCTTCCACGAACTTGAGGCCCTCTCCCTGGTTGACGCCAATAAGCATGTCGTAGTTAAGGAATTCTCCTTGCTGCATGAGGATCTCAGGGTCATCAGGGACTACGTCGCCGTCCACCACGGGCCCGAAGGCGATGTGGTAGCTGGGGAGAAGGGGTCAGGGTCTCATCACCTGCTCGCTGGCCTCCTCTCAGCCCATGGCCAGCTAAGCTCACATGCAGATGCTTCTGCCTGGAAGCCCTTCTCCCCTACTAGAAAACCTCCCCTGAGTCTTTCAGGGCACGTGGCCCCTCCAGAAAGTTTCCTGAAGCACTCTGTGGCACCCTGTGCTCACTTGTTCTGTTCAGACACCTCCAGTGAGGGAAGGCCTCCAAGAGGAGGCCATTAGAGGGGCCTGAAGCCCACCTCTCCTTGCCAAATGGAAGAAGCACAGGCACCTCTCACCTCAACCTCCTTGGAACCAGCAAGGAGAGTGAAGGCCTGGACCCGGTCCCCTCCCACCCCCATACCGGGCGGGCTGCACATCCTGGTCCACCAGCTCCCGGGAAGGCTTCCGGCGCAGACACTCCACAGCTTCGGCACTGTCCTCCCGGTCACAGCCCACCTTGGCTGCCAGCAGCCGTGTGTACTTGAGTGGCTGGTAGTTGACAGACCAGCTCGAAATGGCGGTGCCACTCTGGGCAATGGCCTTCTGGAACAGTCCTGGTGGGACAGGCAGACCTCAGGCCAGGCTGTATCAGCCAGAAGGAGAAGGGGGAGCTGGCAGGGTCAGGGTTGTGGGAAGGGGGAAGGATGGGGCAGGCAGGGGTTGCTGCTTTACCTTCCGAATGGTGGGAGAGGATCAGAAGGTTGACACAGGAGGCCCCTGCCCCAGACCCGAAGATGGTGATGCGCTCAGGGTCACCCCCAAAGTGAGCGATGTTCTCACTGAGCCAGCGCAGGGCCTGAATTTGGTCCAGGAGCCCATAGTTGCCTTTTGCAGCCTGGTCCCCGGTGCTGAGAAAACCTGGGGGCAGAAGAAGGAGGGGGATCCCTGAAGGTGTCACAACACCCTTATCCCCTTTCTGGGCAGCTCAGTCCAGCCCTGAAGCCATTCTACTGGGTTTGGAGGAACCCTGCCCACCAGGCCCACCTCCCAGACTCCACTCCCCAAAGTTGGCTGCCACCCTCACCGAGCACCCCAAGACGGTAGTTGAGTGTGGCTACGATGACGTTGCCATAGGCGGCCAGGACTGAACCATCAAACATGTTCCCGGTGCCCTCCATGTAGGAGCCGCCGTGTAGAAACAGCATCACAGGCTTCTTCCCAGAGTCACGGATATCTGCGTGGGGAGGGGGCGGGCAGGTAGGCCAGGGGGTCAGGGACAAGGACACAGTCAGACCAGAAGCAGCACTGCCCAGCTCCCAGGCCTGCTGAGGACCAGCCTGGAGCTCAGGGGAGACATGTCATTCCCATCCCTGGGGGGCAAGACCGGATTCCCCTCCTCCCTCCCCAGCTAGCCCTGGCAGAAGATCCTCCACACCCCCTGCCAGCCTGCCCTGCAGCACTTCTCCAAATGCTGGGCAATGCTGGGCAGACCTTCCAAAAGCCCAAGAGAGGCTGGGGGTGGGAGGTGGCCCTCCTCAGGGTACCTGCTGGATCCAGGGAACCCCCTCCCCACACTCGTACAGCGAATCTCCTTCCTGCTCCTGGGAAGAGCGAGCTCCTGAGGCTAGAACTAGAGCTAGAGATGCTGGAGAGTCCTGGCATTTCCTCCAACTCAGGCCTTGGGCTTCCGCTCCACATGGTACCCTGGTCTGTGGGTGAGGGGGTGCCAGGCCTAGGGTCCCTGGGGGCTTGGTCTCCTCCCCGCCCTAATTCCTTTCTAGGTCACCTCCCTAGTCACCATGGCAACCCCCAGCCTAATTACTGTGGCAGGAGGAGGCAGGGTGGGAAAGAGCCTGCTTAATGAAGCCAGGGTGCAGCTCTCTAGACTTGGACCCCCATAAACTGGCCTGAACCCTGGCCTGACCCCTCTCTTGCCATGTCCCAAAAGGATCCCCCTAATCACTGCTACGGGTAGTGGCCCTTGAGACACTCCAGACCAGACTGAGGGGTGACTAATTCCAGAAGAAGGTGGGAATCTGAGAGGGCTTGCCAGGGTCCCCAAGGCCATAGTACCCTCCCCTGTAGCTCCCCCATGATTCAGCCACAGTGCCGGGGCTGGGAGCCATCCCCGGCCCACACGCCCTCCTCTTTCTTGACACCTGCCATCCCCGACTAGCCTGGACACTCAGCAAACAAAAGCCAGGCCTGGGCCTCCCTTGCACACCTGATCCCCAACAACTCTGCCCAGCTCCCTCATTTTGCCAGAAACTTTCCTCCTGCCAGAAGGTCAACCTGCAGATCACTAGACAGCGCCCTTGACCCCCAGACAGCATCCTGCCTCCTGTCTCTTAGACCTTCTCTGCAGCCTCCATGCTCCTGGCTGCTTTGGCCAGAGCTCCTAGCTGGGCAGCACCTCTCTGTGTCTTCCCCAAATCCTGTTCTTGCCTTCATTCTGGAACCCTGAGTGGCTTTCCAGCAGTTTCACGCTGGAATCTCCCTCCCTCCAAGGTCCTGTCCTAAATGTCCTCCGTTCTTCCCCACCCTCACCCCAGCCCTCTCCCAGTGTTGGGAGGGTCAGAAAGGGAAGGAGGCAGGAAGAGGGGCTGGGGCAACAAGAATTCAAAACCAACAACAAAAAGCAGGATCAAGAAAGAAGAAAGAAAGAAAGAAAAAAACAACAACCAAAAAGCAAGAAGCTCTCGGGGCAGATTCAACAAGAAAAGAAAAAACAAAAAGATCCATTTTGGAAAAAAAGAAAAAAAGAAAAAAATTTCTTTGCATTTTTTTTTCAAAATTTTGTGGTGAAACTTCAAGATATTGGGCCCTGTTTTCAAAAATTTCCAAATTTCTTTAATTCACTTCAAATGTTTGCGTTTTCTGTGTCTGAAAGGCTTTTGGAAATTGCAGTTTCTGATGTCTCAATTGTGTCATCAATTTGCCAACTTTTAAATTTTTTTCAAAAGTTGTTTTGCTCCGAATTCAAATTGTTTTTTCAAATGTTACATTTCACAAGTTTCAAAACCATCCAAATTTCTTTCAAACTCTAAACATTTTATCCAATTCTTTGTTTTTTTCTGACATTCCAATTTCTTTTCTTTTTCCACCTTATTTTCACCAGGTTTAGCTTTTCTTGAAGGTTTTCTAGTGGGTCCAACATTGTTTCAATTTTGTTTGAAGTTTTCATAATTCCTTTTTCCAATTATTAAAAATTTTTCTTTTCTTTTCTTTTTCATTTTTAGTTGGGAGAATGCCTGAGGGGCCTTGAGGGCTGTGGGGACATTTAGTTAGGGGCAGGGCCATAAACGTCCTCTTATAAGCAATCACATGCAGCAGCGGGATTTTTAAATCTACCTGTGTCTGGCGGATTGAGCGTCGCCTCGTCACGTTTTTTTGTGAGCGGACCTAAGACCGGGAACACAAAACAGAGAAAAAAGGACAATTTTGTGGGGAAAGATGGGGGTCGGGGGAGGTGGTGGATGGGGAGGGGAGGAGAGAAAGCAGAAAAGGGGAGGGTGGGGGAGGCAGAAAAAATAAGCCAAAAAAAGCAAAATTTGTTTGCAAGAAAAAGAAACCAAGAAAAGAGAAAAACGTTTCTACAACCCAATTTTGTTCCCCTCCCCGGAAAAAGTCATGCCCCAAAGAAAAGGCTGGTTTTGGGGGGGTGGGGTGCCTGAGTGGGCTGAGGCCTGTCTTAAGACATATTGACTTGGCTGGAAAGGATTTGGCTTGTCGGTGTGTTTGCTAATTGCTGGAAATGAAACAGTGTTAGAAGGGGGTGGGAGGGGAGGGGAAGCCCGCCCAAGCCCAGGAAGACCAAGGCCAGCTTGCCACCCAGGCTGCCTCTCGAGAAGGCCCCCTTCAGGGCCAGCCAAGTGCCTGCCTGCTGCCCCACCCAGGCTAGAGGGAGGAGAGGCTGCCGCAGAAAGGACCCTGCTTCCCTCTGGACCACGCTGGAGGGCAGCGGGCAGCACGGGTTTGGGGGCCAGCCTGCCCCTCAGCTCAGCCCCAGCCCCGAAAGCCCTCCACTCCCACTGGGGGGCTGTGGGTAGGTCAGCTAGGGCTGCCTGCACCCTACCCAGTCTCACCCACCAGCAATTCTCTTCCATCTGCACTCATAAGCCTGGCTTCTCACCCCAGCTCCCCAGTGTGGGCAAAGCAGGGACAGGGGTCATCAGGTCTTGCCCTCCACTCCAACTCATCCCTCCTCTGTCCCCAACCTCACCCCTTACCCAGGCCTCCTCTCCTCCCCGCCAAAATGGTGAACTTCACACCAGGGCCACCAGCCACCCCCACTATCCCGCCCCTGCTCCACTGCCAAAAAGCCCCCCTTCCCACCTGGGGGTTCAGTCCGCAAATAGGAAACAGGAAACACAGTGCCCTGAGCCAGCCTGACACATAAGGTGCCAGGAGGCACTTGGAGGCACGAAGTGTGCCCAGCGTCAGGGAAAGCCGCAGACTGGGCCCAGAGACTGGCTCTAGGCTTCTTTCAGATTAGGGGATTGGTCAGGGCAGAGCATGAACCCACAGGCTTCAGGGATTCCCCCAGGCTGATGGTTTTTCCTCAATGGCATGGGGACCAGCACAGGGAAGGGTGGGTCATAAGGCCCAGGCTAGTTCTGGAAGGCTTCTCCTAACCGGCGGTGAAGGCCCCATGGGGAACAGGACCTCGTTGTGAGAGGATGGGGATGGGGACGAAGTCATCAGGGCATGTGTACCCGTGAGAATATGAAGTGTGTGTGCGCGCGTGCGTGTGTGTGCCTGAGTCAACCTCTTCCTCCCAGAGCTGGTGTGAAGATTCAGTGAGATCACCTGGATGTGTCAGGCCCCAAGTAGGTCTGCAAGGAGTGATGGTTAAAAATACAGAAGGTGTGGGCATGGGTGGTGTGGGGGCAGGGGACAATCCTTTGGTGGAAAGGGTTGAGTGGATGTTTCACATGGGGGATGATGAGACAGGTGGACAGCCTATGTCAAAGTGTGGGGGTGGGGAGTGTTGAGATGGACAGTGTGTGTGGAAGTACTGGGGTGAATGATTCATAGGTAGGAGGGCAGCAGACAGGTGGCCCAAGAGAGGGCAGAGGAATGTGGAGTGGGTAGTCCTCATGTGGAGGGTGTTGGGCATTGAGAAGGATGGGTGGAGTGTGTTGGGGTACACGGTCTATGGGGATTAGGTTGCCTAGAATTCGTATGGGATTACAGCAGATGATGTTTCTGTGCATTGTTTGTGTGTGGGTTTAGGAGGCATGGTTCACATGGAGGGGGTAGTTAGGAGGTTAGGGTGTATGGCTGGTGTGAGGGATATAGGGTGGATGGTCTTGGAGGTGTTGGGATGGATGTGGGGGGGTAAAGGTGCATGAGTCTGGCATAAGAGGATTCTGGGTGCAGGGTGCATGCTGCTAGAGTACTTGAGCTGTGATTAGGATATAGGGCTAGAGGGTGTGTTGTCACCACTTACAGTATAGTGCAGATGATCTCTAGGTAGGAGTTGGGATAGACAATGAGAAGTGTTGAGGGAGTGGGAGACTGTGGTGTGAGTGGCCGCTTGGATCACATAGTCCACATGCAGGGTTATTGGGGTGTATGTGTGGGTGTTATTAGGGCAACGATCTATATCCAGGGACACCGGAGAGCGTGGGTCTGTGTGGGTGACGGGGCACACAATTTCAGAGAAGTGCTGGGGATACGGGCCATGTGAAGGTGTTAGAGCACATGGTCAGGGTATAGGCTGGTTGGGTACCTGATCTGAGAGTTGAGTAGTTGGGGTTCACAGTCTATTATGGGACTTGAGTACATGATATGGAGGTATTGGGTATGTCAGGAGTACATTAGGGGTTCCTGATACGGGCCGATGTGTAAGGTTGCTGGAAACATGGCCTGTGGAGGTGTTGGCGTGGCTTGTTTTGGAGTGGCAAGACAGGTGTCAGAAGGGTAATGTGGGGGCTGTTTGCGAGGCTGGTCTGCTGGGATGGCTGCAATCTACCTGTTACCCTCTGTTGTACATGCTAACAGATAACCTGATCAATCTGTGAGTGCCAAGGTTGGCTGGAGAACTGTCCGCAGGGAGCGTGCTGGGGGCTATGAGCGGACTGCAGTGAACAGGAGTTCATTGGTAAGAACAGCCGCTCAAGAGCCCCAGGGCAGATGGGGATGGGTGGGCTGTGCTGTGAATGGAGGGCCCCTTGGCTAGGAGTTTTCCTGAACCTTCAGGGGAATATAGGGGTCAGGGGACAGAACAGTATGGAGGAGGGTGTGAGGACCACTGCCAAGGGCACCCAGCTCAGTGAAGGGCTCTGGATGGGATGTGATGGATGGATGCTGGCCTGGGAGAGAGGAAGAGTCTACACTGCACTTGAGGTGTAGGTATAGCTGAAGCGAGTATTCTGGCAGGGGCGAGCCCAGGCCTGGAGGCAGGAACTTGGGGGTTGGATTGGGTGTCTGGGCAGGGTGGCCACATTGAGATGAGCTGGCTGACTCTGTGTGTGCCTCCTTGAGAAGTGTGTGGGTAAGCCTAGTCCAGCGCCTGCTACCTTTACAAAGGCTCCCTCTGGGCACAAAGAACTTCTGGAGTGGCTGTCTGTGGGATGCGTGCCTGGGACTGCCTGGCAATCACCTTTACAATCCTCAGAGGGCAGTAGAGGCCGCAGGGACACATGGTCTCCCACAGAGGCCCAGCTCTGAGCCCCGTAGCAGTGCCAGTGTCTGAGAATCTGTGTGTGCGTTTGTGGGCTGTGTCCAGGGGGTGCCCGGCCTTGTGCCTGCGCCCTTACCGTCCTCGGTGGGCACGTAGAGGTTGAGGTACAGGCAGTCCTCGCTCTGGTTCTGCACATAGGTGGCGGCTGCCTCCAAGTTGTCGGTGAACCACACAGGCAGCATGATGGCGGGCAGCGCCCCGTGCAGGTTCTGCGGGCAGGCGGGCGGCAGGGTGGTGGCGTTGCGCACGCCGGGCCACGAGGCGGGTGCCTCAGGCGGCTGGAAGCGGCGGGCGCCCAGGGGCGGCGTGGCGTAGGGCACGCCCAAGAACTGCACGACCGGGCCCAGGATCTCGTTGTTGAGCTCGCGCCGCACACCGCGCACTCGCCCGTAGGCTGTGTTCACCACTGGGAAGCGCTCCTCCCCTAGGCTGCCGAGGCCCAGGCCCGGGCCGCCCGGGGCGCCGCCGCCGGGACCCCCTCCCCCCCGTTGAGCCCCCGCCAGCCCCACCAGACACAGCGCCAGGAGCCACATGCTGATCCGGGGACCCCCCCTCCCTCCCCGGGACCCCCCCCCTCGGAGAGAGAGAGAAGGGGGGGGAGAGGGAGGGAGGCCCCCCTCGCCCCAGGAGGGAGGAGGGGGCGGGGGAAAGGAGGGAAGAGGGAGGTGGGGAGGGTCCTGGGTTAGACTGGACAGAGAAGGGGTCTGTTCCTCTCCATGGAGGGGGCAAGGGGTGGGGAAGGAGGTGGGAGCAGGTGAAGGCAGGCCCGACCTGCGGGAGACAGAGCGGGAGGGACAGGGCGGCAAGAGACAGACAGACAGACAAAAATACAGAGGAGAGGTGGAAGAAGGGAAGGGAAATTGGATGGGGCAGACAGAAAGGAATGGGGAAACAGAAGAGACAAGTGGTTAGTGACTTGGAATTCAGACCAAGTTGTCCCCTTCCACCCACAGGCCCCCTGGCACCTCCCCCTCCCAGTCCAGCAAACCCTCCTCCCCTCAGCAGGGATCCAGGCTGGGAGTAGGGTCAAGATAGGGTAAAAGTCCAGGGCAGACACCCAGGAGAGGGAGGGTCAGTGCCCTAGACCCAGCACACCCCCTTCCAGCTGCTCTGTCCCTCCCAGGCAGGCTCTCCTCAGGGACTCAGGAGTCCCAGTTCCCACCTCCCTGACAGGGAATGAGATAGACAAGGAAGAGAAAATAAAAAATACCAAGTCATTAATTAGCAGGAAGTGGCGGGTTTGTTTATACGTGTTAATTACTCCTGAGCTGTAATTTCATGGTGCTGAACGCCCACCCCAAGCCAGATTCAGGCCTTCCTTGGGACTGTACAAGCCCAGTACCTTCTCACCCCTTCAACATACCATTCCCTAAGGATTTGTGCACCCCGGGACCCCTCTATCCCCAAGCCCTCTCCATTTCTTCCTTCAGAAGTTGAGGTGTCTTGAGGCTGGGGTTAGAGTAGGCAGGGGATGCTGGAGGGGCAAATGCCGGGACAGATGCGTGATCCTGCAGCCGGTTGCTGGGCGACCGGATGCTGCCCCGCAATGTTACCTCGGCAACGGGCTGCAGCTTTAACCCTGGAGGGGGGGTCTGGAGGAAGAGGGGAAGGGGCTGGCTTGGTTGTGGGGTCCATTCAGGGAATGAGGGGGAGGGCAGAGCCATGAGTCAGAGTGCTAGAGTTTCCCCCAACCTTAGCCTAGAGGAGGAAGTATATATGTTGAGGGGAGGGGAAGATCGGGGGCATTGAGAACCCTAAAAGACCTGCCTTTTCCCTCCTTATTGGCCAATCAGAGCTTTTGCTAGTGACCAGGCCTCTGGCTGGGGAGAAGGGGTGCTGAGGTGGGCTTGGGAAGGCATCACATGAGCCCACTGCCTGCCTCCCTCCCACAGTCTTGAACAGCCTTGGACCCCAGACACCTCTTCTTCTTTGCACAGCATTTTGACCCATGTCCTGGGGACAACTCTCAGCTTTCTTCTCATCCCATCCCATGCCATCCATTCACTCCCCTTCCCCTTGCCAGCCCCCACAGTTGCTGCTGTGATGCCTGGGTGCTCAGGGCAGCAGGGGCAGGACAAGGGAAGAGATCAGCCCGAAGGGGCAGGTACCCAGGTCATTTCGGCAAGCCCCCACTACCCCCCTCCCAGCCGCCAGAGCTGTTTGCTGACACGGGGTTTTCAGAGCCAGGCGCCAGCCGCGGGTGGCTCTCTGCAGGTGTCAATTTATTCCAGAGATGAGGACACAGGAATCCTTAACACACACCCCCAGCCATGCCCTCCGCCTCTTCAGGTTGTCTTAAGCGCCTGTTCCCCCATCACCTGGAGGGAGCTTGGGGCTAGCTTCCCCAGGATCACCTCTTCTTAAGACAGACTGAGCTCAGCTACCATGGCCTTGCTGCCCCCTCTCCCCAACATGGCCTGCCTCTGTCAACCCCTCTCTCCCTTAGGGTACTTTGGGCCCCTGGCCTTCTCCCTACCAGCCAGCTTCTCTCCCTCCTTCCCTCCCACTGGAGGCCCCCCCATCTCTCTCCTCTCCGTAGCGCTCCCTCAGAGCATCTTTCCTGGGCCTCTTCCAGCTTGCTCCAGCTCTTGCCTTCAGTCTCTCTTCATCTCTCTCCTTGATTTTCCTCATCTCTTTCTCTCTCTCCTCCAAATACCTTCCCCAAATTTCTCCCTCAAGCTCGCTCGTGCTCTCTCTCTCTCTCTTCCCTGTCTTTTCCCATCTCTGTCTCCCCCATTTTCTCTCCCCATCTCTGTCTGCCACATCTTGCTCCCTCCTCCTCCCCATCCCTCTGCCTTGCTCTCTCCATTCCTGCCCAGGCCTGACTCCCCCAGCCGGGGAGAGTTGAGGGACGGGGGCTCAGGCCGCAGGCCCCCCTTTCCTGCAGTGGTGAAAATGGCTTGGCCGGGAAGGGGAGAAGGAGGGGGAGGGGAGATGGGAACACACGGGGTCTGTGGGCCCATTCAAAGGATCATTCATGGACTGGAGAGAGGCAGAGACAAAGAGACCAAGACGCAGAGACACGGCGAGAGCATCCCTAGGCGGAGACACGCAGACAGAGCAGGCTGGGGGAAACCAGGCGCAGGGAGGGAGATGGGGAGAGGGAGACCCCAGTGGACCGCCCGCACCCCCCTCCACCCGGCCCGGCTTAGCTCCTACCTGGCTCAGCCCTGGGGCCGTGGTGCTTCCATCCAGGGCTCCGAGTAGGGGGCGGACGGCCTTCGGGAGGGGGGCGGCGGCCTCTGAGCCCCCGCGGCCCCGCAGGCCCAGCCCCCGCCCGCAGCGCCTCACCCGGCGGGGGAGGGGGATCGCCCCAGCCCCGGGGGGGCGGGGCCGGGATCCAGTCGATCCCCGGGAAAAGGAGATCTAGGGGATGGTGTCGGGGGAGCCCGAGAACAGGGAACCCCGCAGTGGGGACGGCAGAGCAAGGAGGGGGCAACGAGACAGGACTGGATTGGGGATCCACTGGCTCTGTGGGCTGGCTTCGAGGGACCAGAAAGAGGTGCAGGCGGAGGATCCTAAAGAATCGGGTGCTGGAGAAGGAGTCCACGGCAATCCCCAGGGGCCCGGGAGCGCAGGATCCGCGGTGCAGGGGCAGGGATCCAGCCGGAATCCTCGGGGAGGGGGAGGGATCTAGTCGATCCCGAGGGCGGGCGGGAGGGGGAGGTCCGGGGACTCAGAGGAGGGCGGGAGCCGAGTCCAGAGCCCCGGGACTGGGGTCGGCACGGTTCCTAGGAAGGAAGGCGAGGGTTGGGGAGGCTTCGAGGGACGCTCAGCAGCCGGGAGGCCCGGACTACTGGCTCCGCGCGCCAGGGCCCGCCCGCCCCGCGTCCATCCCAGCCCGAGAGTGATGATCCGCCGGCGGAGCAGCCGCAGCAGCCCCGCGCGTCACCGCGCGGCCGCCTCCCCCGCCCCCTGCCGAGAGAGCGGCGCACACCCCCCCGCTCGCACCCGCCTGCCTGCCCGCCCGCCCTCCGGAGTGTGGGGGGGATTGGAGACTGTGGAAGGGGGTGGGATTGGACAGACAGACGTATGGATGGACGTAGCGGGCCGGGGCAGGGTGGAGACATCCCCCCGGATCTCCCACCCTCGGAGCTCTTGTGATCTAGGGGGGAGAAGGCTGAAATACAGGGGGCGGGGCATCATACAGAGAAGGAGGAGCTTCCGGCCATGGAGGAGGGGCCATCTTCCAGTGGGTGTGGTTTAATAGAGGTGGGTGGGGCTTGGGTATCCGGAGGCCTCCTCTTTTTGGGAGTGGGTCTGGTTTGAAGCTGAACGGGAGGAGCCTATGGGGGAAGGGGGCGGAACTTTGCGTGGGGACCGGGATCTTTGGAAATTGGCTGGAGGTGGTGGGGGAGGGTTCGAAGAGGCGATCAACTTGGAAAGTGGGCCAATCCGTGACGCAAATCCTCTAGTCCCGCCCTCAACCCCGCCCCCCATCGCTTCGCTCCTCTGCTCCTAATTGGTTCTGGTTTCTCCGCCCGCCAGACGTCTTCGCCACTCCGCAGCAGTTTTACAAAGGCTCCAGTACCCGGGTGAGGACCTGAACGCTGAAATGAACACGGCCTGGATTGGGCACCTGTGAACCTTATTTGCATGGGTGATCGGGATTGGCTGGCCTCCCGGGTGACCTGGGCGGTGTTCGTCTGGCGCGTGACCATCCACTGCCATGGCGGGGCTGGGGACTGCTTTCCGCCGCCTGGGCGCCTTGTCCGGAGCTGGGGCTTTAGGCTTGGCCTCCTACGGGGCGCACGGTTAGGGCGCTGGGGACGAAGTTGGGACTGTGCTTGGGGCGACCTCTGGGGTCTGACGCAGGGGCGGAGCCTATGGGAATTGCCCAGCCTCCTGGTTACCAGACGGCCCGCGGAATCCTAAATCTTTTAAAGTCCCCCAGCCGGGTCCAGTTGGTTTCCAGTACTGCCCGATGCGTGTTTCCACCAATCGAAGCTTCCTGCGGGGCACCCTTTCTCGCCTGTGCCCACCTGGGTCCCCCACGCGTGGGGGCGGGACTGGTAACCTTTCCCTCTCCTCTCCACAGGCGCCCAATTCCCAGATGCCTACGGGAAGGAGGTGAAGTAACTGCGCCGGGGCTCCTCGACTCGCGGATGTACTAGGGCATGAAGTCTGGGGTTCCTGAGAGAAGTTGAGGGGGTGGTGAGGATCTTTGGAGCAGCCAGGGCTGCAAGCCTGGGGTGTGGAAGCAAGCTGGGACTTCAAGGGTAGGGTGGGGGAACGAACTTTGGTCCCATGTGTCACCACGGGATTTCAGGCTCCTATGTTGCTTAGGAAGTCCCCCCATTTCTCTTTTTCTTACAGCTCTTTGACAAAACCAACAAACACCACTTCTTTCACAGCCTGGCCCTGTTAGCAGTACCCCACTGCAGAAAGCCCCTCTGGGTAATCTTTCTCCCTGTCTAAACCTGACCAAGCCCCCCCCTCCCCACCCCTCAAAGCCAGCCCTGTACTTACAATACTGTTTTCTACGTTGTGTCTTCTTCAGGCTGGGTTACTACTGGCCTCCGGAACCACCTTATTCTGCACCAGCTTTTATTACCAGGCTCTGAGTGGAGACCCCAGCATCCAGACTTTGGCCCCTGTGGGAGGGAGCCTGCTACTCTTGGGATGGCTTGCCTTGGCTCTTTGAGCACTCTTGTTTAATTACTAAGTTTTCTGGGTAATTTTTTAAGAGTTGGAGCAGGAAAGGGATTAAAAGGGAAAAGCAAATAAACTTTGGAGTCTTTGTTTATCTAACTTCGTGGAGGAGGAAGGGTAGGGATTCAACCTCTGAACTCTCCTAAGACTTAGTCAGTGAGCCTTGGGTCTGGGCATTCTGTTCACTTCATTTAACTTGTTATGAAGTTCTTAAACCCAGTAGGCATCAAAGTCATAGAATGCTTGAGGGCCAGGCATGGTGGCTCATGCCTGTAATCCTAGTACCTAGGCTGAGGCGGGAGGATTGCTTGAGCTAAGGAGTTCGAGATCAGCCTGAGCAAGAGCGAGACCCCACCTTTTATTTAAAAAAATAAATAAATAAATAAAAAAGAATGCTTGGAATAGTGCAAATTCCTACTGAAGCCCTTTTTGGGGGCCTGGGAATCTGTATTTTAATAAGCTCATCTTGTGGTTCTGATGCCCACTAGATTTTGAAAATTATTGTAAAGTGGTGGTTTTCAGCCCTGTTGTTCCACAGATTTGTTGAGCACCCAGTTATCTAGAAGTGAGGGTTAAGGCAAGGCAGGACAGGAGGAGTGTCATTAGTTACAAAATACTTTGGGGTTCAAAGCAGGAACAGATCATCATGTATTGGAGGTCAGAAAATGCTTCACAGTGCTTGAGATGATCCTTAAAGGAGCTCTGTTGTGTGGAGGGAACACAATGGACAAAGAATGAAGTGGGGGAGGGAGGGGTTTGGGGCAGCGTGGGTCTTCATTGTGGGCTGAGTTTCTAAGTTAGGCAGGAAGCGAGTGAGAAAAGGAGGCAAGGCAGGCTGCAGTATCACAGCATGCAGGGATCTGGAAGATGTTTAGGGGGCAGTATTTATTAAGCTAGTGGTGATCATGTGTCAGATGCACATCATAAGGAAGATCAATTATCAGCAAGAGAGACACTGTCCTTTCTCTCATGGAGTTTCCCATCTGATAGTGGAAACAGAGTTTAAACAACGAAACACATAAATCATTTCGAGTTGCACTATATGCTTGAAGGAAAAGAATAGGGAGGCAGTGGAACAGCTGGACGGTAGAGGGTGTGCCCCTTTAAATGGAAAGGCCTCACCAAGATGGTCCTATTTTTAAATTTCTTTTAGAGGCAGGGTCTCACTCCTTCTCCTGGGCTGGAGTACAGTGGCTGATCATAGCTCACTGCAAGCTCAAACCTCTGGGCTCAAGCGACCCTCCCACCTCAGCCTCTCAAGTAGCTGGGACTACAGGTGCGAGCCACCACACCCCACTAAGTTTTAAGTTTTTTTTAGAGATGGGGTCTCACTATGTTGTCCAGGCTGGTCTCAAACTCCTGGCCTCAAGTAGTCCTCCCTCCTTGGCCTCCTAAAGCACTAGGATTACAGGTGTGAGCCACCAAGACTGGTGAAGGTGGTCCTATTGAAGCTGAACTAACAATGCACAAAGTGGAGGGGAAATGTATTCTAAGCATAAAGAATAGCTAGCAAAACAGGCTGAAAGGAGCAACTCAAAAGCTTGAGGCAGGAGAAAATTTGGTGAGTTGGTAGCGTGGCTGTTGTGTAGTGACTAAGGGGTCCTAGATGGCCAGTACAGACCTTGCAGACAGTGGTAAGGCACTTGGACTCTGTTTGCAGTGCAATAGTAAGTTACTGAAAGTTGTTATTTATTTATTTTTTTTAAGAGATGGGTCTTACTATATTGCCCAGGCTGGAGTGCAGTGGCTATTCACAGGAGCAATGGCCACACACTGCAGCCTTGAACTCCTGGCCTCAAGCTATCTTCCTGCCTCAGCCTCTCAAGTAGCTGGGACTACAGGCTCGTGCCACCATGCCCAGCAGTCATTCTTTTTAATTTCTATTTTTGTGTATGTTTTATAAAGTACAGTCTGTATAATATATTCATGGTACATACTTTATTTTTCTGAAGGTATGCATTCAAAAAGTGTGCAGACCCCTTCTCTCAATGAGAGGATTTTAGGTGATCTCATCCAGTCCCGTATCTCTAATCACAGTCTGCCTAACTTTTAAATCCAGAATTTCTATCTTCCACCCTAGTCTTTACTGAGCTCCAGATTCCTATACCAGCAGCTTTCAAGGCAGCCCTGAGGCAAGAGAGTATATTAGAGACCTGAAAGAATTCCTGGGGGCTGGCTTGAGAGGGTAAGAGAGGGTGAGAGATGAGGATAGCAGGGCCAAATGGTGGAGGGCCTTGTGCTGAGAAGTTGGACTCTCTCCTGAGGGCAATGGGGAGCCACTGGCCCCCTTATATCCAGGGAGGTGGCACGTTTGGAGGTATGTTAGTAGAGGACCACAATATTTCATTTTATTTAAAAAAATTTTTTTTTGGAGATGGGGTATTGCTCTGTCATCCAGGCTGGAGTGCAGTGGTGTCATCATAGCTCACTGTAGCCTCCAACTCCTGGGCACAAGTGATCCTCTTGCCTCAGCCTCCCTAGTCACTGGGATTACAGGTGTGAACCACTGCACTCGGCATATTTCTTCATTTTAAAGATGAGTAAAGTGGCCGGGCATGGTGGCTCACGCTGTAATCCTAGCACTCTGGGAGGCCAAGGCGGGCGGATTGTTTGAGCTCAGGAGTTTGAGACCAGCCTGAGCAAGAGCGAGACCCCATCTCTACTTAAAAAAATAGAAAGAAATTATCTGAACAACTAAAAATATATAGAAAAAAATTAGCCGGGCATGGTGGCGCATGCCTGTAGTCCCAGCTACTCGGGAGGCTGAGGCAGAAGGATCGCTTCAACCCAGGAGTTTGAGGTTGCTGTGAGCTAGGCTGATGCCACGGCACTCTAGCCTGGGCAACAGAGCCAGACTCTGTCTCAAAAAAAAAAAAAGGCTATAGGTCAAAGGTGACAAGCCAGGGACAGGACAAGAAGATGTATATTGAGGCAGCATTAATATGAATGAGAGTTATGACATTTACTGAACATTTTGGGGAGGTCTTCTCAATAGCCCTGCAAGTTAGGAACAGGGAAGCTAAGAGAGATAAAGGAACTTGTCCTTCTATTATGCAGCTAGGACCTGGGTAACTTGTGATTCACACTTTCCTCTGTCCAACTCCCAGAGCTAAGTTTGTTCTTTCTTCTACAAACCAAAATATACATTTCAGCAATATTTAAAAAGATAACTTGATGCATTATGTTCAGTGTGACAAGTAGATACTGAGGTGGGTTTGTTTTGCCTTTGGGGACTGGTAAGACTCCAGTGTGTTGCTGGGTTTTCAACATGAATAGGAGTTCACCAGAAAAAAAGGGACAAGACCATATTGGTAACAAGTCAAGAGGGAAAACAGGAGCGCCTGGAGCCCGGGACTGGGTAGGCAGGTAGGGCCAAACAGTAAGGGCGGGCCCACATTGTGCAGAAGGGTCTCCCGGGCCAAGTCTGAGTCAACTTTGACTTCTTCTTTCCTCACATCCTACATCCAAGCCATCATCAAGTCCTGTTGGCTCAAATATGTATCTGGAATCTGACCATTTCTCACCACCTCCCTTGCTGTCACCCTGGCCCCACGTCTAAGCCCATATCTCACCTTTTGCCCTTGCCTACCTACTGCCTACTCTTGACAAAGCAGCCTGAAAGACAAATCCTTCTAACATGGTATTCCTCAGCTGTGGCTACACATTAAAATCTAAGGAATTCTCGACAAGATCCTATGTCTGTACCTCACCCCAGATATTCTAATTTAATTGATATGAAGTGGGACTCAGGCATAGGTATTTCTTAAAGCACCCCAGATGATTCTAACATGTAGCTAGGGCTGAGAACCACTGTTGCAGTGTTTAAGTCTCACGTCTCTTTGTCAAACCCTCCAACACTTCCCATCTCAGAGTACAATCCAATGGTCTAAAAGGTCTCCTGTGACCTCTCTGACCTCCCCCAGTAAATTCCATTCCAGCCAAACTGGTCTTTTGTTCACTGAACAAGTAAGACATACTTCTGCCTCAGGGCCTTTGTCCTTGCTCTTCCCTCTGCCTGAAACACTCTTCACCCAGAAGTCTGTATGACTCAATCCCTCTCCTTCAGGTTTTTGCTCAGCTATCACCTTGGTGATGCCTTCCTAGTATGCCCTCTTTTAAATGGCAACGCCTGCCCTCCACTCCCTACCCTCCCTATCCTGCTCTACAGCACTTATCACCATCTGACTTCCCATTTATTTTAGTTACTTATTATCTGACTCTTATCAACTGGAATGTAAGCCCCAGGAGATCAGGAATTTGGTGTTTGTTTTCTGCTATATATTCCTATCACCTCAGTGCTGTCTGACATATAGTAGGTGCTCACTAAATCTTCACTGGATCACTGAATTTCTGTATGTTTATGTTTTGGTGGAAGCTAGCTCAAGCTTTGGGCCATGTGGAGTCTGAGGCACTAGGCGATACCGGGGGAGAGGTCAGGCATTCGAGTCTGAAGCAGATGAGGACTGAAGCTGCGGGAGGAGCTGAGCAGCCCTGGGAGAAGGGGCCAGGACAAATCCAGAGGAACAAGGACATAGGGGCAGACAGAGGCCCCTCCCTCCCCCACTTGCGTCTCCCCTGCTTCTCTTGGCAGGTGACACCTCCATCTGCCTGGTTACTAGACAGGCATCTGGGGTCATCCTTCACTAATTACCTTCACATCTCACCCCCCAAACCAAGTTCTATATTATATTATTGTCTTAATACCTCTAACGTCTGCCCCCTCTGTCTGCGCTACCACTACCACAGCCATCCTTTCCCCTAGACTATTGCGCACCTTCATTGTTCTCGACATTGTAGTTTGCAGTTTGAACGATCTTTCTAAAACACACATTTGACCTTCTGTCTTTGTCTTAAAATCTTTTGGTGGGCTCCTTGCTGCCCTTCGGGCCAAATCCCAGCTCCCACGAGGGGCTCTGTGCACGTGGACAGCATTGTCTCTAAACTCATCCCTTGCGCCGCTCAGCCAGTAGGCTCCCAAGGCTTCCTTACACCTGCGGACCTTCCTCTGCTCAGGACCCAGACCCCAGACCTCGTCTTGGGGGAAACCTTTTCTGACCACGCTTCCTCTCTGCCCCACTACCCCAAGCCTCAACTCACGCACGCACACTCATTACTGTCACTGGCGGCCCCTTAACCGCGTGGCGGGGGCGCCTGAAGGAAGTACTGTAATTGCGAGGCGCCTGCGTGGGTCACCGCTGCGTCACGGAGAGAGAATAGCGAGGTCGCCCTTGGGAGGTAGAAAGGGAGCCAGGAGCCAGTCCTGGAAGCCAATGAGAGAGTGCGAAGGGTGTTCCGCTGCGTCAGCGAGGCCCGAACCCAGGACTCAGCACAGCCGGGCCGTGGGAGCGCGGCGCAGAGCACTCCGCGGACCTGGCCGGGGGTCGCAGGGCTGGGGCTTAGCCCGCCGTCCTTCCCAGGCGCTCTTCCTCTCTGGGCATCTGCAGTCGGAGAGGAAGGGGCGGGGACGGGGGCGTCGCCAAGTAGCGCACAGTCCAGGGTCCGCGGCCGCGCGGGACAAGAGGCGGCCTCCTGTCTGCGCAGACGCGCCGCTCAGGCCGGGAGGGGCGGGGCCTGGACGGGTCGAGGGGCGGAGTCAGATCCCGGGCCCACCTCCCCGAGCTCCTGAGAGCCGCCGAGTGCTCCGCACCCCGACTGTGCTGAGGGCTTCAGGTGAGGGGGTCACAGAGGGGTCAGGGAGACCGCCCTCGAGGTCGGGCCGTCGGTCTGACCGCGGGTCCCTCTGTCTTGCTGTCCTCCAACAGCCGCCTCCGCAGAGAATGGGAGAACAAAGGGAGGGGGCGGTTCTGGGGCCCCTGAGGGAATCCAGGGTCCCAGGTACCCCGCCCCGCCCACTGACACTTTCGGTTTCTCCCGAGTCAGAGGCGCCGCCCGAGAGACCCTGGGCCGGCGCGCAGCTGCCTCTCCGCGTTTGCCTGTCCGTCTTTGTGTCTGTCTCTGTGTCTGTCTGGCTGTCTCCGGGCTTGCCTCCACTTCCAGAACTAAGCCGCCCCGACACGGACATCCTGAAAACTCCAGCCCCTTTCTCATGGCAGGTAAATGCGCGCAAGGCCGGGGGTCTCCGTTATCCCCCAACCGACTTGGGAGCCAGGTGTGGAACACATCCTCCGAGAATGTGCTCTGACTGGCTGGGTGGGGCCCCTGGGGAGCCTCCGCCCTGCTCCCCTGCCCCATCTCTCTCTGCCTCTTCCCGCCACATTTCCCCCGCAGCCTGCGGGCCATGGGTTGAGGAATAAGGGCATGAAGCCACGGGTCCCTTTCTAATCTAACCCTGCCCCCAACAGGTTACTTGTCCCCCAAAGGCTACGCCCCTTCGCCCCCACCTCCCTACCCTGTGACCACTGGGTACCCGGAGCCGGCGCTGCATCCTGGGCCCGGGCAGGCACCAGTGCCTGCCCAGATACCTGCCCCTGCACCTGGCTTCGCTCTCTTCCCCTCGCCCGGCCCCGTGGCCCCGGTGTCTGCTGCCCCCTTCTTGCCACTGCCAGGGGTGCCTTCTGGCCTGGAATTCCTGGTGCAGGTGAGTGGAAGGAAGGAAGGGTGACGGGGAGGGGACCTGGGCGTGCAGGTGGACCAGCTGATGTCTGTGCTGCCCCTAACTCTCTTTCCAGATTGATCAGATCTTGATTCACCAGAAGGCTGAGCGAATGGAAAGTAAGTAGGAGGAGTAGGTTGGGCCTCATGACGGTGACAAGGATGGTGGGCGCCTGGGCAGGCTGTGTCTGAGTTTCAGTGTCACCCTTGGCAGCGTTCCTCGGCTGGGAGAACTGTAACCGGTACGAACTGCGCTCCGGGGCCGGGCAACCCCTAGGTCAGGCGGCCGAGGAGAGCAACTGCTGCGCCCGTCTGTGCTGTGGTGCCCGCCGGCCGCTGCGTGTCCGCCTGGCGGACCCCGGGGACCGGGAGGTGCTGCGTTTGCTCCGCCCACTCCACTGTGGCTGCAGCTGCTGCCCTTGTGGCCTCCAGGAGGTGGGTGGGAGGGATGGGGTTGGGAAGAGGCTCTGGTAGGGGGCGGGCCTTGACGGGGCGGGACAATGATGGGGCAGGCCCAGGATGAGGCATGACTGGGTGGGAGTGGGCAGATGGGGATGGGAGGTTTAGTTGGGGGCCAAATAGGTAGAGTTGGGACCAGTGAGAGCTTGGGCCAGGGTGCCCTGGCTGGGCAGTGACCCTGTCTGCTTCCCACTCCAGATGGAAGTACAGGCTCCACCAGGCACCACCATTGGCCATGTACTGCAGACCTGGCATCCTTTCCTCCCCAAGTTCTCCATCCAGGATGCTGATCGCCAGACGGTCCTGCGAGTGGTGGGACCCTGCTGGACCTGTGGCTGTGGCACAGACACCAACTTTGAGGTATCAGAAATATAGGGAGATTCCTGGGATCTTCATAAGCAAGATGGCAGTTTCCATGAGCCAGGATGGCCAACACTAAGGTCAAGATCCTTAGCTCATCAATCCAAATCCACAGTGACTCCTACCACATTTGCAATTTTCCTGCATTGGGAAATAAGGATGGCCCCATGGTCTTATAATAATATAGCAAAGAGGATTTCATCTTAAGGACCAATGCTGATGGTTACATATAGCTCCAAGTTGGTGGTGGTAGGGAACATAAGGCCAGACTGGATTTAGAGTAAAAGATGATTAAGTCTGCCATGGGGGCTGGGCCCATGTGGCTGCTGTGCATAAGTTTGTGAGCCCAGGCCCTGGAGTAAGTGCTAATTTAACGTGTTCACATCCCATGGCTTGCCCTGCCAACCTAGAAGTCCGAATGGCCTCTCCAACCTAATATCCAGCTGATATTCTTCTCACCGTGCATTCCTATCACCAACCTGGAGCCTGGACATCCCAAGTGGTGAGAATTCCAGAGTGAGGCCTGGGAAACACCTTGGTTTGCAGAAGACAAAGGCACTCTACAGATCCTTGGGTCTTTAAGGGATAATTCCCTGTGCAGATAAGGGAAAACCAACAGGTATAATCCAGTAGACTTTCCAACACTTCTAATGAGGTGGCTTATGTAAGGTTACTTGTAAAAAATGAGTCACCTCGGTAGCCGGAGGGAGGTTCTGTGATGGGAACTGGTTGGAAAAGAGATAAGTGGGTGATCCCTGGATGAGAATTTGTAGACTGTGGGGTTCTCATAGCATCCCTTTTACACAACTATGAATGGTCCATACTTGGGGTTGCACCCTTGGGACTGCAGGGCTAGCTAGGACAGGTCCTGTCCAGCCTAGGACTGGGCTTCAAGAAGTGTGCCAGAGCTGTAGGGCAGTGGGGAATAAGGATGGGAAGGACACAGAAGGAAATCACTCCAGTTCTATTCACTGGAGAATGAGCACAGCAAAAGGACCAGGAAGTCACTGTGAGTTACCACCCACAACAGCAGGGCCTGTTGCTGCTGGGCTCAGAGAGGCCAGTGGAAATTGCGGTCCTCGAAGGTTATCTACTGCTTCCCCTCCCCCTAACAGATAGGCCTGGATCCCCTCTAGATCAGGCTTGTATACAATGCTGCACAGGCCCCCCCACCCCTACTTTGCAGAGTAGGGAAAAGGCACTCCTTTGGGTAGACAAAGCCTCTGGGAGTGTGCTTGGCTGGTAGAAGTACAGCCAGGATTTCAGCAGCCTTCCTTGCCCTCTCGGCTAGGGTACTTTGTGCAGAGCACAAATTGGACCCACTGTGGGTGGCAGGGACATTGGGAACCAAAGCAAACCTAGCAAACAGCCATACACTAAGAGGATTAGACTATATCATGCTTCCATTCCTCCCACCACTGATGTCCATTTATGTCATGCATGGCCTTTGAACAGCAACAGATCAGAGTCTGAATCCTGATTTTTGCTATAGACTCATAGCGTGACATAGGGTGCCTGCTTCCCCAGCTGTTGCATTCTGTGATGGGAGCCAGTTGGGAAAGAGGTAACTGGGTGACCTCCGGATGGGAACATTCGCTGAGTGTGGGGCCTGCACAATTCATACATGGTGACTGCGGGAGTGGGATTGGAGGCAGGTGAGATCGGTTACTTTCTCCCCACTTGGGTCCTTCCTCCCTCCCTCCTGACAGGTGAAGACAAAGGATGAATCCCGCAGTGTGGGCCGCATCAGCAAGCAGTGGGGGGGGCTGCTCCGAGAAGCCCTCACGGATGCAGATGACTTTGGCCTGCAGTTCCCGCTGGACCTGGATGTGAGGGTGAAGGCTGTGCTGCTGGGAGCCACGTTCCTCATTGTGAGTTGGCTGCCCCCTCCCCTCCTGCTTCTCTGCTGTCACATGAAGCTTTGTGCGCTTCCTGGCCTCTTGCTAGGAGAAGGTTTGGGATAACGTTATGGGGGGGTTGAGGTTCCAGACTTGGGTTGTGAGAGCTGGGCCAGCCTGGCTCAGCTCTCCTGTTGACCGTGGCCTCCCCTCAGGACTACATGTTCTTCGAGAAGCGAGGAGGCACTGGGCCCTCTGCCATCGCCAGTTAGAGGCCACCTCGGTGTGAGGAGACCATCACCTCAACCAGAACTCAAGATGGTCACTTGCCCTGGCCTGGCCCCTCCTCAGAGGCAGCCCCTTTCCTCCATGTACACTGCAGGGGACAGACGAGGGGCCCATCCCTACCCTACTTCCTGGCCTCCTCCCCTGTGGTACCCACAGAAGAATATGTATGACAGCCTGTCCCCTGCTACCTTCCACCACTGTCTCCTAGCAGTCCCCCAGCACACAGGCATATCGGCTTTCAAACTTCCCCTACCCACTCTCTCTTGCCCCCTTCTGGGGGTCTCTGCTCCAAAGGAGGCTCTGGAACCCAGGACTTGGGTTTTACGGTTTTGCAACAGGGCTGGGTGGGGAAGGGCAAGCGGCACCAAAGGTGGCAGACATAGCCACCTGCATCAGCTTGGCCAATTAGCTCAGCCTCAGACTATGGCACTTTGAGGGGGTCCCTACCTCCCTACCAACAGCTGCAGGGGCGGGGCTCCAGTGCCAATTTCCTCTTCCCCTTGGGCCCTGCCCACAGCTGGTGCTTGCTGCAGCTTCCTGTGCCTTATTTAACCACCCCTTCCTTCCCTTGCCCTAGGAAGGAGGCTGCATCTTTGTATGTTATATTCATATAAACTTTGTAACTTTTTGGACATTGGAAGATGTATGTAATGGGGGAGGGTAGAAGAAAGACCTGGTGTGGGAAGAAACAAAGGGAAATGTGACAGCTGAATTTGGGCAGGGGCTGGCCTGCCTCATAATCCATGCTACCAGGATCAAATGTCCTTGAGTCCAAGAGAACAATTGTCATCCCCTACAATGGCCCTGGGCCATGTGTCCCAAGTCAGTATGGCTGCTTCCATCATCCAGGATGACTTGCTCACAGAGTTCAGGGTGGTTGCTGATGACAGTTCAGGGTGGCTGTTCCCATGGTCCAGTGCGGCTGCTTCATCATTCTCTATAGAGAGGGGAAGCTTCCTCTGGATAGGATATATAGCAGCTCTTTCCTCTAAGTCCTCCCCTTGTTTGGGAGTGTGGTGGGCAGAGTGGATTAGATCCTTCTTGGCCTAGCCAAAGGAGCTTGAGCCCTCGGAGGCCAAGGGGCAGGGTAGGCAGGAGACATTTGTCAGTGCCCGACCCAGGGCTCCTCCTCTATCGCCCATAGCAGGTGGGATTTCCCCAGGTGGGAAAGTCTGCCCCTGTCAGGACCTTGTTCTTGTTCTGCTTGGTCCCACATGGCCAGGCCCTGAAGGGCCCAGGCTTTCCATGCTGGCATACATGCCCAGGGAAGCAGAGCTCAGTGCCGGGCTAGGACATAGCGGCTGGCAGCTGAGAGGTCCCACTGGTAATGCTCCAGGATGCGCTGGCAGTCAGCTCTGGACCGGCTACTAAGGTGAAAGAGCTGGTCTACCTGTGGGAGCAGGAGAGAGGGCAGCTGACCACTAGGTGTCAGGGGCAGGAGAGGAGGTAGCCCAAGAGAAGGGTCCGGCTTTACCTTGAGGTTCCGGATGGCAGACTCCACATCTCCCCCAGTGGCTCTTAGTGCTACCTGACACTCCTGATGGGTGACTCCATGTACTCTGAGCTCCATCTGTGGGGGACAAAGCTTTATTTAGGTTCCTGCCCCAGCCTGTGGCCCCTTCTGGACTACAATGGCCACTGCAATGAGACTTCACCTCTATAATCTTCCTCTGCAACTCAGGGTTGGGCAGGAGGGCTCCAGTGGGGACAGAGGCTTTAGTGGCTCCAGGCACTCCCATGGGGTGATTGTGTGGGGGTTCTCTTTTGGGCCAGGGAAGCGGCTCCTTAAGAGGCTGGCTGGGTTGAGAAGAGCTGGAGGCAAAAGGCAGGCATGGAGGCAGGCCTGGGGGTCCCTGGGGCACAGCTCTGGCTTGTCGAAGTTCAGGGGGGCTTGAACCACCCCCTGTGGGACGAGTGCCCAGGGACAGAACTGACTCCAGACTCTTGGAAATGCCTGTACAGTTGAAAAAGAAACAACTTGAGAGGAGGCCCAGATGCTAGGTCCTGCCTTCTTCTTGCTCTTTGTCTTACCTGTGCTAAGCTGGATGGTTTTGCAAACATATGCAGATAAGCTAGCCAGCCCTGCCCTCAGGATGATTCATGTGTTAGATGGGACAGTAAGACAGGAGTGCAAATGGACACCAAGGCCTAGGCAGCTGAGGGCCCAAAAAACTGAGTGCTCAGGGTCCAGAGTGGGGAGGTTCTGTTCAGTAGGGAAGGCAGGGGGGCTTCCTGTCTCTTAAGATCTCACAGTATAGCTAGGATGCCAACGGACAGGATTTGGGGGAATGAAATCATACATGCAAAGGCATGGATTCGGGGCAGGGTGCACAAATGGAGGGCTGTTCTGGATCTCCTCAGAGATCCTGGAGTCCCGCCATGCCCACCTTTCATCCTATGCAGAGGAGTGTTCCTTCTCTGGCCCCGTGCTGGGTGTAGATCCCGAAGCTTTTCCTTCTTTCTGTCCCTGTCGGGCAGTGATCAGTTCATCCTCAACACCACCCCTCTCCACCACACATACCAATGTTCCCTCTCAAAGAAACCCTCCGGGGCACCTAGGAGACCCAGGTGGAAGCTCTAGCTGGGAGGCAAGTCCAGGATCACCAGCTTCCACCCTGGTCCTGTCCCCAAGCTTCCCTTCCAGAGAAGTTGCTGGACTTGGTCCCCCCAGCCCAGCCCTATCCCCCACCCTTTCAGGTCCTCACCCCTCTATGCTTCCTGGGGGTTGCTCTCCCTGGGCAGGGGAGCCTCTGTGCTCTGGACAGGCAGCTGGCAAGCCCGCCAAGTCTGTCAGCGTCACTGCCGAGGCCGGGAAGCTGCCTGCTTTGAAGGTGCGACCATTCTGGCCCTTCCAGATTGTGGAGTTGGGGCTGTGAGAAGAGGAGCTGGTGAACGGGATGGGACAAGGGGAAGTGTGGGGTCTGGGCTGCAACCCACAGTCAGCTCACCAGGCTGTGTGCCTTGGAGTCGCATCTGCCTGGAGGGAAGCCTCTCCCTAATGCAAAAGCGCTCTGTGTGCCAACGGCAGCCCCAGCAGGGAGGCCAGGACTATGCTGGAGCTCTCAGGGCCCAGTGGGTAGAGGAGGAGAAGAGGCAGAAGATCAGGGTTCAAGGAGTTGGGAGAAGCAGAGAGGGGACCAGGAGTCAGGAAAGTTTAGAGGGTTTCCTCCTCCCGGGGCTGCTTGGGAGGTATGGGGCTGTCACCTGCCCTCGATGATGGTGATGGGATCACCGGGCTCCATTTTCAGGGCACCTGGCTCTGTGACATCCCTTACACAGCGTCCCTCAGAAGGCCAGGCCTATGGAGACAGGAGGAAAGGGTTGAGCTTTTGGCTTGAGTCAGAAAGGTAATATGGGAACATGGAAGAAAGCAGACTCCCCTCTGTGCACCCACCAATCAAACCCACACCACGTATGTCCTCTGTGCTGGGCCCAGGGTGGGACTCTACTTGTCTCCCAGTTGTAATCTGGTGGGGGAGGTAGACCTGGATTCCATGCCAAGCTGTAGACTGCCCAGGGTTCAGGAGCAACAGAGAAGGGCCCTATCTCTACCTAGAGCTTCACAGCCACTGTCACCTACCTGGTCCTCTCATCCTCAGCATCATCCCTCTCATCCATTCTTGCACCACTTCACAGTGACATAACGTGCAAAGCTGGTTTGTGACTCCCCTGCTCAATACCCTTCCATAGCTCCCAAATGCCCTCAGAGTAAAGATTAAACTTTAACAATAGAGTGTAGTGATTTAGGAAATAGCCCTGAAGTCAAATTGGTTTAAATCCCAACTCCTCCACTTACTGTGTGACTTTAGGCAAGCCACATAAACTGTCAGTGCCTCAACTGTCCCATCAGTAAAATGGAGATAATAATTACCTCACCGGATGGCTGAGAGGATGAAATGAGTGAATCTGCATAAGGATCCACATAAAGCAGGTAGCGTGATACCTTACACTGTAAGGTGTACCTGTTAGCTAGTGTTACCTGCCACGCCTTGGAAAACCCTCCGGCATGCAGCCCCTGCTCACTCTGCCGCCTCGTTACTTCCATTTCCCCTCCCACGCTGAACTCTTCCTCTGCCTGTCAAACACCCCCTGTGACCTACTGCTCTCTCCTCTATGCCCCTTTTCCGGCCCAGACACAGACCATAGTCTCCCAGACTGCATCTAGGTAGCCCCAAGCTGCCTCCCCAGGGCTCTGAGCTCCCTGCAGGTGGGGACTGAATCTGTTTTGCTCAGAGCTGGGTCTCAGAGCCCAGCACTGGCATCTGGTGTGTTAGTCTTGTGCATGGAACCCCAGGAGAGAGAATGGAGGAAAGAGACACTGTGTATCTGAGGAGATGGGGGTCCCCACCTCTTGGAGAAGCCCCTCCAGTTGGGAAAAGCTAGGCCGGTCAGCAGGGTGGAGGGCCCAGCAGCGCAAGGCGAGCGCGTAGAGGGCCCTGGAGCACAGGGGAGGCCTAGGCAGCCGGGCTCGGTCCTTCTCCAGCTTCTGCAGGATGAGGTACGGCGGGACCCTGGCCCAGGGCTCCTCGCCCCTGGAGAACATCTCCCACAGCGTCACCCCAAACATCCACACGTCTGAGGCAGATGAGAAGGCTCCCTGGCGCAGGCTCTCTGGGGCACACCTGCGGAAGGAAGCGGAGCTGAAGGGGGCTGGATATGTGCCCTCGGAGCTCATCTTCCACTGAACGTCCCTTCACCCCACCCCATGTTCCCAAAGTCCTCAGAAGTCCTCCTTTCCAAGGGTGACAACCCCTCTTGTCCCAGCCTCCCTCAGAAGACCAGCCCTCGAGCTGCCCAGCTGCTGCCCTCCAGACCCACCCTGCTCGAGCGCCCCGCCCTCACCAGGCGTAGGGGATGGGGCGGGGCCCGCCCATGACGTAGCGGCCCCGGGCACCGCCCAGCGGCCGCACCAGCCCGAAGTCCGCCACTTTGATGGTATGTGGCGAAGCCAGCAGTAGGTTGCGTGTCGCGAGGTCCCGGTGCACTAACCCGCGGGCCCCCAGGTACGCCATAGCCCCCGCCAACTGCCGCAGGAAGAGGCAGAGCAGGGCCACGGGCAGCGGGGGTGTCGGGGCCGGGGCCGTCAGGCGCGCGTGCAGGGAGCCTAGTGGCGCCAGCTCCATCACCTGTAGGAGCACAGCGCCTCATGAGCTGCGGTCTGCCCCATGGGACTCTGGCCGCCCACCCTCCTGCCGCACACCAGCCCCGGGGCTGTGCGGTGAGCAGCGCGTGGATCTGCTCACCATCTGCAGAGGCTGGCCCAGAACAAGGCCGTGCAGACGCAGCACATGTGGGTGCTCCAGGTTCATCATGATGGACACCTCTCGAAGAAAGTCCCCCAGCTCTGTGCCCACAGGGCCTTCGGGACCTACCCGGAGGGACTTGACAGCCACTGGGACCTGGAGGCGGGGGAGCACCATCAGGCACACTGGGGAACCACCACGCCAAGGCCAGAGCAGAGAGGGCTTGAGGAACAGAGGGGGCAGCTGGGCCAGGAACCCGGGATGAGGTAGGGTCCCTGGACACTCACAGTCTGGCCGCTGGGCAGCGTCCACAGCCCTCGGTGCACCACGCCAAAGCAGCCTGAGCCCAGCAGCTCTCCCCTGCATACAGCACCCTCTGGGATCAGACACTTAAGTCCACCCTCTGGCTCAGGGAAGCACGGTGGTCTGTCCGAGGGCCTGGTGGGCTCCTTCTGCTCTGGGGCAAAACCTCCAAGGATCTGAAACAGGAGTGGGAAATCAGGTGCGCAGAACCCTGCATCCCCCTCCAGCCACCTGGCCCACCTCATTCCTGGGCTTAAGCTGTCCTCCAATCCCCGACAACACATACCTTGTAGACCCAGTTCTTAGGCTTGAACCCTGAACGGTGCCTCTTCAGAGCTTCAGCCAGTCTGCGCTGGGCTGGGGAGGGCAGGGCAGAGAGAGATTTACAGGCAAGAAAAGGGGCGGGGAGTGGGAGGACAGGCAACTGATAGGCTGGGGAAGTAGAGACCAGGGTCTTGAGGCAGGGGTCCCTCACCAGGCCGGCCCATGCCAATGCCGTCCAGGTCCTCAGGCCTTACAAAGTCAAAATGCTCTGGCCGAGTGACGTTAAGCTCCTCAAGGATGGGCCGGTAAAACTGGGCCAGCTGGAGGTCTCGGAGCAGCCGCAGTAGCCACAGGGAGCCTGCCTCAGGGAGCATGTCTGGAGAAGGAATCCCTAAGGACAATGGCATTCCCCTTCAGATGTATAGCCGAGGGTAGGCACCTGAGACACTCAGGCACCAGAGACAGGGTCTCCAGCTCCACCCACAAGCCATCAGAAACACTCAGGTACGGAGGGAGGGACACAGCAGACAGCCAGGAACCCTGCCATTCACACACATAAACCCCAGGTAGAATGCTCCCTGTGCCAAGGCCTCCAGATATGCTACCCCTCACCACTGAGTAACCTGCCCTCCTCACACCTGAGGTTTTAGTACACTGTCTGCTCATACTAGACCCCAGGTGTGATGCCCTCCTCAATCCTGAGATATTATGGCACACTGCCTCTGCACCCCAGGACACCGGATACACAACTCTTTCAGACCTGAGCTACACTGTTGTGCATACTCCTGAGACACCTCTCCTCCTCAAACATGAGATGTTTTTGCCTACCACACACACAGGGAAGGGCCCAGATATGCCAACCACTCCATACCTCAGACAAATAGGTAGACACGGGCACACACACACAAAGGTATGCTGCCTCCCACATGCTGCTACCTATGCACATACTGAGACCCTCGGATATGCTGCAAAACATGCCCTCTCAAGGCTGAGACATCCCAGCATGGGGCTGCAAAATGCCCAGGCTGACTGCCACACGCCTCTCACATCTGCGTACTTGAGACACTGTAGTTCACTGCCTCCAAACACCAAAGATACCCCCCCACACAAGACACCAAGGTACAGTATCCACACATACCTTTGTTATATGGGCATACTGCCCCTCAACCCAGAGACAGACACCCAGCGTCATTGCCTCTTATACACTTGAGGCAGCAACATTTTAAATCAAATTGGGCATTTGGGATGGGCCGCTAAGCTTAGGTCCTGCCTAGAGAGCCACCTAGGCTACCAGGTGCACAGTCCCGTCCACACCCACCTCTCAGCTCCAGGTATAGATCCCTGCGGGCAGCCTGAGTCACTCAGTCTAACTTGGCTTCAAGGCAACTCCACCAACCTTTGTTAAATAAGCCTCTAGGAACTGCGGGTACCGGCCGCCTGCACAAACACTCTCTCACACACACCTGGGCAGCCCCCTCCCTTAAGTGGAGGCCCCGACGCGGGGCCCAGCTGGAAACGCGGAGATGGGAGATGGGCTGGGAAGTGGGCGCCGGCAGGGGGCGGGGACGAGAAGGCCCAGGACGCTGGGAGACCCGGCAGCGCAGGTAAGGTGGGGAGGGGAAAGCGCGCAGGAGGGAGACAGGAGGAAACGCGGCCACGGAAGGCAAGGACCCGGGCAGAGGACCGGAGGCTCGGCATCCTGCGGATGCACCTCAAGCGACCGCTGCTCACCTGCCCGTCCCAGCCCAGGGCGTCCTGCTTGGTCCCGACCCTCACCTGGCGAAGGCGGAAGCGGCGGCTGCGGAGCCGCCCAGGTTGCGCGGACTAAATCCCGAGAAGGGCGGGACAGGAGTAAATTCCGGGGAGGGCGGGGACCTGGCGGCTGGCCAGGGGCTGGCAAGGGCCGCGCCCCCAATTCCCTGGTAAGACTCTGTGAGGGTCACAAAGGCGACTGGCGGCCCCTTTCTCCTCCAGGCCTGATCGACCCCCAGAGCACAAGCAGCCTACCTTCCCCTGTCCTTTGCTCGCCTTCCTTCACACCGTCTTTCCAGCCTTCTCCGAAGAACTTTCCACTGCTTCCCAGGCTTCGCTCCTCCGTGTCCTGTCCCCCACGCCCTCTCTCCCCAAATCCTTCACCTCTCTCAACCAGGACCCCACCCCTTAAATAAATAAGCACCTGCTGGAGATAGCTTTGCCCAGGCAGTGGGAATAGAAGGCTAAACAGGACACAGTCCCTGCCCTCGAGTAGGGGAGAGAGCTTCCTAGGATTCCCTAATTAATGAAGGAAAGCCAGGCAAGCCCGGTACGTTGGCATGGGTCCAGGGCAGAGAGATGTTGCTGTTGGTACAGGAAGTCAGCCTCCAGCCGAGACAGAGCCTAAGTTGACCACGGGCAGCACTCCATGCCCCAAGGCACCCTCCCCATCACTGACACTTCTGGCCTCATTCCAGTATAACACCCTGCCTCCCAGTGAGCCTCTGCTGACCCAGGGCCCTGCTCACCGCTACCTGGCCTGTGGCCACAGGGACACAGTCTAGGGCCTTGAAGAAGGCCCTGGGGAGGATCATTCCCTCGCCCTTTTCCTCAGGGGTCCCAGAGAGGAAGCTGCCAGTCTGAGGACATCTGGTCTGCCTCCTGTCCAAGGGTGGTTGTATGAACACAGCAGTTGCTGTCCCAGTGCTCTCTTGGAGAGAAAAGCCCTCCTCATCTTGGTAAACACATGGATATTCCAGCATTGATAGGAAAATCTTGGTAATGCGGTTCTTGATGTATTGTTTTCTTACTAATTCTCTTGCCCTCCAACCATGGCAGCTCATCATACTGTAATTACTCTCTCCACGTGGTTATCTCTGATACACATGCTGTAGCTCCACAGGAGAGGGACTGGGTCTGTCTTGCTATCCCTGCATTCTAAGTACCTAGGACAGTGTGGGTATATAATAGGCACAATGTATGCTGGTTGTAAAGAAATCTGCTCAGTCTAATCATCATTCCTTTGTAGATGATCTGGCTTTACTCCCTGCTTTTAAGGTATCATTGGTGTTTTGTAGTTTTATTACAATGTGTCTAGATGTTGATTCCTTTCTATTTATTCTGCTTAATATGTTGTATTTCCTGTATGTGTGAATTCATGTCATTCATCACTTTTGGAAAATTCTTAGCCAATGTCTCTCCCAAATACTCCTTTTCCCCATCCTTTGTGCTCTCTCCTTTGCCAACTCTGATTAGAAGTATGCCAGACCTTTCCATTCTGTCCGCCATGTCTTTTAACCTGTCTTCATATTTTTCATTCTTTGCATCTTTTATTTTTTTTTTTTTTGAGACAGAGTCTCACTCTGTTTCCCGGCCTAGAGTGCCGTGGCGTCAGTCTAGCTCACAGCAACCTCCAACTCCTGGGCTCAAGCAATCCTCCTGCCTCAGCCTCCTGAGTAGTTGGGGCTACAGGCTTGCGCCACCGTGCCCGGCTAATTTTTTCTATATATTTTTGTTGTCTAGCTAATTTCTTTCTATTTTTTTAGTAGAGACAGGGTCTCGTTCTTGCTCCAGCTGGTCTCTAACCCCTGAGCTAAACGATCCGTCCACCTCGGCCTCCCAGAGTGCTAGGATTACAGGCATGAGCCACCGTGCTGGGCCCATTCTTTGCATCTTGGTGATACAATTCAGGTAATCTCTTCAGATCTAGCTTCCAGTTCACCAATTCTCTCTTAGGTTATGTTTGATGTGCTGTTTAATCCATATACTGAGGGGTTTTTGTTGTTGTTGTTATATTCATATGAACATCATTCTACTTTCATTACAGTGCATTATTGAGGTATAATCTACATTCCATAATATGTACACATTTAACAGTACAGCTTGATAAACTTAAACAAAGGCACACATCCATTAAGGTAGATAAGGATCCAGAACTTCTATGATCCCAGGAAGCTCCACTGTGCCCATTTTTAGTCAATCCCATCCTTCATAGGCGACTACTATTCTGATTTCTAAAAGCCATATACCATTTTTGTCTGCTTTTGACCTTCTTATATAAGGAGTCTCACTGTTTCAATTTGTTTTTAGCTTATTTCACTCAGCATAAGATTTTTTGAGATTTATCCGTGATGGATTAGTAGTTATTTTTTATTGCAGGGTAGTATTCTATTATAGAAATATATTACTTTTTTTTCTTTTTTGAGACAGAGTCTCGCTCTGTCACCCAGGCTAGAGTACAGTGGCATCATCATAGCTCACTGCAACCTCAAACTCCTGGGCTCAAGTGA